CAGGAAGTTGGGATTCAGACCCACTTTTCAGGCAGGGAAAACTGAGGCAGCCAGGGCTCCAGAGCCCTGGGACTTAACCTCTCAAGGACCCAATTTCCTTCCTGTAAAATGAAGATGACCGACTTCTGCTTTCAAAAGGCTGTTTGTGAGAAAGAAATCAAAGAAAATGAATGTGTCACTTTTCATTCAGGAGATTTCATTTGAATTTCAGTCACATAACACACCCTTATTTTACAAATGAGGACAGATTTAGAGTACCAAACGTGGCCAATAGCTCAGTGACAGAGCCCCGGTCCTGTGACTGACTTCTGTCACTTTTCCACACCTCAACATGAAATCCATTTTTTGACACATAAGATTCTCTTTAAAGAGATGGCAAGTCATGGCCACTTCCCCAGGAAGGTATGGCAAGGAGATGGGGACAGGGACCAACCTCGGGCTCCCACGGAGGACACGCTGCTTCGATGGGATCGCTCGGCGGGGCCCGGCAGCCCGGCGCCCCCTTCTGCGCCGTCCATCTGCATTAGAAAAGAGAGCTGCTACTGGGGGTGCGGGGACGGGGTGCGGGGGAGCCCCCCAGCTCTCGCGTAGGTCAGCGCTGGTGGGAGGGTGAGGCGCGGGGTCGAAGCTGGGCTCGCCGAAATACCCAGGCAGGGTACGGCGCGCCCCGACCCGGGGCGGGGACCTGCGCAGGGCGTCGCCGCACTCTCACCTCTCAGGAACGGGGCGCCCGCCGCCCCAGCCGAAGCTCCTGCCTTGCCTCCAACCCACGGCTCCTGATTTGGCTGCAGCTCCGACTCTACGTACAGCTCCGGGGGCTGGACGCGGAAGCTGGGGCAGAAGAAGCGCGGCGCACGCGGCCCCGCCTCCCCAGCCTGCGGGAGCCAATCGGAGCCTGGAGCCACAGCGCACGCGCCCTTGAGGGGGCTGGCACGCTCATTCACCCCGTGGGCCCGCGCAGGCCCGGAACGCCCCGGCCACCGCCTCCTGGGTTGGTCACGCCCCTGCTCTGGCTACACCCCTGCGCGGGCTACATCCCTGGGCTGGCAGCCCTACGAATCAATCCCACCGCCTAAGCGAGTGACCGATGGGCAAGTGGGCCCCACACGTATGCCCACCCATAAGCCTGTACCAGGGTGTGACGAAGGTTCAACGAAATTGGGGATGGTGGCAAGAAGTCGTGGCAAGAACTCTGGCACTCACGCGCGTGTGACTTTGGGCTGGTCACCTCACCTGTAAAATGGAGATGTTTCCTGGGCTGGGTCAGGGATCCACACTGTGCTGAGCCCTTGGGTCAAGGTGATGCAGGCAGCGGCATGTACTGCAGCGCCCTGGATCGTGAGGGGTGATGGGCTCTTTCCTGTGGTCAGGATACTGGGTCCCTGTTCTGACTCATCCTGGACGAGCCCCTTCTCCGTTGTTCATCTGTAAAATGAGGGTGTTGGACTCGACTCTCAAATTATAGGCCAGAAACCCAGGCCAGGCGCAATCGTTTTTTCCAGAAAGCAGTGACATGAGCCCTTGCTATCTTAGGACACAGCCCAGGGACCTTGAGGCATTTCCAGGCTAGGAAGAGGCGCCAAAAACAGGCAGGTGAGAAACTACCTAACCCCAGGGTCACGTCACCAACATGTCCTGGCAGTGCCAGCATATGTGTGCCTGAAGTGTAGATCTCAGGGAGAAAAACAGGTCCATGGGGTGCCTTCCTGAAGCAGAGGTCATTCCAAGTAATAGCAGTGGGCTGGCTGATCAGGAAGGTATAAGGGTGTGGGGTGCAAAGGAGGGAGGCTCATGCTGCCCTGATTCTCTGGCCTTGGAGGGCAGCTCCACACTCCTAACCCAGTCCAAGCTTCCTCAGTATTTGTGGCAGCTCTTTGCTTGCCTTGCAGGATCCACATTGCCCCACAGCTGAGCCCGTTACAAGAGGTCCTCCTTCCTAGCAAGACCTAAGGACTCAAGGAATCTGATGTGACCTGGAGGGAAGATTGTTCTGTGGGCAACAAGGATCTCCCTCCAAGTTCTCAGCTCTGAGACCCTCAGACCAGTCCACAATAGCTTGGTGGCCTCCCTACCAGCTGGAGCAAAGTGGGAACCCAGTTCAGTGTTGTTGAGGCCCTATGAGTGCAGGGCCTGGGCTGCAGCAATGGGTGGAGACCTGAGTGAGACACAGCTCCACCCTCAGAAGCTAACATTACGGTTTAACTGGGGAGTGGAGAGAGGAAAGAGAAAAGCCCAAGAGAAATGCATGTTTAAAACTACATAAGATGACAGAATTGCCGTAAGAGATATAAAAATGCCATGAGCAGGAAGAGAAGGGTCCTCAATTCCTGAGCAGCTACTGTGTGTGAGACCCTTTCCCATGTGTTTCCTCATGTCAGCCTCATGGGCTCTGTGAATGAAAGTAAGAGTAACAATAGCTGCCATTTGTGGAGTGTTTGCGACGTGCCAGACCCTCTTCTAAGTGCTTCGATCCTTATACCACACCAAGAGGTATCATATCTCCATTTTATGATGATAAAACAGGATCAGAAAGGTTATGTGTGGTGGTGGTGGTGGTGAGAGAATGGAACCCTGGTCTGGTGAGGAGGGCACAGAAGAGGTTCCTGAAGGCGTTCCAGGTAGCGGGAGCTGCAGGAGCATGGTTCGGACTCCAGGGAGGCTCTGGGCAATCAAAGCACAGCAGGCGAGGCTTGGAAGGTGGAGTGGTACCTGGCGGGGTGGGGCCGTGACACCAGCGCAAGGGGTGTGCGGTGGGTTGGGTGAGCACTGAGGACATTTTGGAGGCTGTAAGCTGGACGGTAATGAGCTCAGAGCTCTGCCTTGCAAGGCAGAGGGTTAATGTGATGGAACTCGCAGCAGGGCTGGACAAGAGCTAGCCAGGGGTAGGGCTGACCTTCAGCAAGGCTCCGGGAGCTGTAATGGGTCTCCCTTGAACCAGGGTGGTGCAATGGGATCAGAGAAGAAAGTGGGGCCTATTCTGAAGCGAGGGGGTTGGCCCACTGGCCTTTAGAGCCAAGAAGCTTTGGACTCAGTGATCCACTGGGCTGGTTTCTACTTTTGCAAGCAGTAAAGGACCCTGAGACCCACAGAAGGGATTGCCAAATATCACTTGGGTGAGAGTGAGCTGCAGAACTGTGCAAGAGGCCAGTGCTCAAGATGGTCTTTGGGGCATCCCAGTATTGTGGGTAGCTCCAGGGGCAGGAGGTCAGATGTGAAACCCTGCTTCCTGGACCGTGTCCTCCCACGAGAGTAGTGGGGTGGATGAGTTCTGCTTTGGCTGCAGTGGGAGAGAAGGGTGAGCAGGACTGGCCCTGGGGTGTCTGATGGGAAAGAAGAGCCACAGGAGACCGGGGGGAGGCAGGCTGGCAGCATTATCAGGTTCACATTCTTTGGGCCCTTTGCAGCTAGGGAGAGAGAACTGGAGACCCAGACTGCAGGGCTACCCACAATATTGCTCCCTGACCTGTCCACACATTCATTCTTGAAAAAAGTATGTTTTGCGTGCCTACTCCATGCAATGCACTGTTCTAAGCCTTTGAGGTTACATCAGTGAACAAAACAGCCAGCAATCTCTGCCCAGTGACAGAGTGCATCAGGAGGTGAGTGTAATGGCAGAGAGAAAAAGGAGAGCCAGGGAAGGGGCCCCAGAAACGCTGGCTGGGTGGCCAGAGGCACCATCAGATGAAACGGCCAGAGCGGGCTCACTGCCTAGGGGGTGTCTGAGTCTGGGCTAGAGGAGGCCAACAGGAAGAGGGTTGATGGGTGCGGAGACCTGGAGGCAGGAGCCCGTCTGACAAAGAGGAGGAGGCCTGGGCAGTTGGGGCAGAACGAGCAGGCGGTGGCCAGAGACAAGGGCAGAAGCGTATGGGGCAGCACCGTGAGGGCTCCCAGAGCCTAGGAAGGACTTTGGTTTTGACTCTGAGCAGGATGCGGCCATTGAGGGGCATGGAGCAGAGGCGAGACATGGTCTGACTTAGATCTCACCCGCACTACTGGCTGGTGTGTGGAGCACAGACTGAATAAAGGTGGAGGCAAGGCCACCTGGGGGCAGGAATCCAAGAGTGGGTGGTGGTGGCTTGGGGCCCTGGCCCCAGGTGAAGGGCCTGGAGGTGATGAGGGGTGGGATTTGAGATCTGTCTTGAAGGTAGTATTATGCAATTTTCCCGCAGACTAGTGGTGAGGTATGAAAGAAGAGGGCCAAGGGCAAGGGCTGGGACTCCGAGGGCTGGTTCCCACATTTGGGGTCTTCATAGGTTTCTGTAAGCAATACACCTGAACACTGGGTCTCTGTACCCTTGAAAGAAGACCCCCTCCTCTTTGTCTCTGCCTCCCACTTCCTGGCATACCTGAGAACAGGAATCTGACAGAAGGTTTGGAGGCTGTCATGGAAACACTGCCAGTTTGCTGTGCTAACACCCATGCTTAATGTGCACAGCAAGCTGGCACTCTGCCTGCCTGTCCCCGCGGGCTGCCTCCCAGCCCCTGGGTTGCTGCTGTGCTCCCCAGCCCACCTCATAGGAATCCGTGTCAGTGTACTGCAGTCAGGACTGGCCCTGGATGCGTCATGGTCCTGAATGTGAACACCAACAACCTACCTAAAAACAATTAATGAAAGATGCAATACATTTTTAAATGATATAAAAGATCGTTTTCTAAACAGCATCAAAGAGGGAGTGTATTTAAGCACTGCTCAGCTCCTAACAGTGCGGATGGGTGAGGGAACAATTCCCGCTCAAGCAGATTGCGTGAACTGGCAACAGAGAAAGTGGGTTGAAGGAAGCAGAGCCGAAGAGATTGGGATTCAGGTCCCTGTCCGGTCAGTTTGGGTTGTTGTCCAAAGAGAATTGGGCAGTCATAGCCCAGCCACCCCCAGGCGGACACAGCACTCTTTATACACGTCAAATCCCCAGGTTTTCCCTGGGAAAGACACACAGAGAGGAGGCCAAGGACGGCTGTTTATGCCTCACATGGGTTAGTCAACAACCCTGGGAGAAGGCAGGCTTCAGGCCCGGTGAGTCACCCCACTTGGGCTGTTCCCACCCTGTCGGCTCAGGCGGTTCCCTAAAGCTGGGCCTGCCCCCTGGTGGCTGGGCTCTGTCCCTGCAGGGCTGGCCGCCTGGGTGGGCGGGGCTGGTTGGCGGCCTCCCGTGTGCTGCTGCAGGGCCCAAGCAGGGTGTGGGCTAGGCAGGCAGGGCCTTCCCAGAGCAGGCTTGTTAAACCCCTCCTGAGTGAGGCGGCCCTGGAGGGGCCCAGCCAGAGGAGGTCGGGACCAGCTGCCAGGCCCAGTCACGCTGCTGGACGGTTGTTGGCCAGCAGCGGGGGGCAGGCCACCACCAGCCATCACGCCCACCCCAGGAGATTTCATGCTCTGCACACCTCCTCCAGCCTGTCAGGGCCTCCCAGGTTGGCTCGCTCCCATCTCCTGGCGCCTGAGGTTTGGCAGTGGGCCACTGCTCACCCTGAACCCAGAGTTAACATTAGGGGAGGTTGTCAGTCCGGGGCCTGAGGAGGGAGAGGGTAGAATTACATTTTTGCAGCAGCGGCTCTGCTGGAGCACCTGTTCTGCCCCGGCTGGACTATGCCCGAGGAGGAGTTCGTGGCTGGTTGGGTCTCTGGTGAGACATTTTTCTTCCTTCTGTCACACCAACCACAATGGTGGGTCATTTCCTGGGGAAGGTGTGTGACACAGGAGTCCTAGTGGCCCTGGCGTGCCAGAGCCTGCTGTCCCAGACAGTCTCCCAGGAGACGCCTGAGAGGGGAGGGAGGGGGGCGCAGGTGGGAGGGTGCTGCTGACGTGGCCCTAGGCCACCTGCCCGCCACCTGCTACCTGCCGAGCCAAGGTGAGTGCTCTCCCAGACACACCCCCGGCGCCTGCACCTCAAACCCCACTCTCCAGGTTCGCCATGTGGGGCGCAGAAAGGATGTTCATCCTTGACCTTGGCGGCTGTCGAGCACTCCCCTTTGGGCCCTGCCCTACCTGGCAACGGGCTGCCCATCCTGGCCCTGACACCTGTTGTCCTATGTACTCAGCCCAGCTTCTGGGTGACAGTCTTCTTAGGAGAAAGAGACATTTGCAGCCTGCCTCGTGGATGTGACGTCACCCAAAGCTCCAGGAGTGGCATCTGGAATGGAGGGCAAGACCGGGAAAGGGTCACTGAGGGGGGCGGGACTCTCCTGCCCCGGGGCCAGCAACACTCCCGCAGGGCTCCTAGCTCTGCACTGCTGCCTGCCGGGATGAGCGCTGGGAGGGTCGGCCCTGGTGTGGCTCAAGGCCCCCGCACTGGAGGGCAGCTGTGAGTTGTAGGAAGTGAGTAAAGCTGGCAGGGGGCAGGAGCACCGGAGCTGTGTGCCAGGGACCCCAGGGAAGCCAGCTCCCCGTGCGCATGGCTGGCTCCTCCCTTCTGCACGTGTGTCCTCCAGGCAGGACTAGGACTTTCTGTCCTTGTTCCCTGTCCCCACGCGTTCCTAGGAGTACCTGGTCTGAGCGAGGATGTAAGGGGCCAACTGGAGTTTCTCTGGAATCTCGAAGGAAGGCCCTGCCCGCCTTCCTCCTGCCTGAAGCCTTCCCTCCCCTCAGCACAGCCTTGCCTCCTGGGCCTGGTGGGAGGGGCCTCACTCATGGCACCTTCTTCTCCCCACAGGAGCTCTGGGCTTAGTCCTGGGACACCCCTTTGACACTCTAAAGGTGAGTCTCGGGGAGGCACCATGGAATGAAAGATGTTGCCTGAACCACACATCAGGGTGCCCTCAGAGCAGGGCCCAGCGGGCACAGAGGCTCTTTCCTGTCTCCCTGGTCCAGCTGCATTCTGCTCCGAGGGGCAGTGGGATGTGCCGGGCTGCAACCATGCCTGGCCTGCCCGCCTGCTCTGTCCTCCCCATCTAGGTGCGGCTACAGACCCAGACCTCCTACCGGGGCATCGTTGACTGTGTGGTCAGGACTTACCGCCATGAGTCAGTAGGTGGCCTGCTTCTTTGGGGCTTTGGGGCAGGGAGCATCTGGATCGCTGGTACCACCTTCCTTCCCTCCTATCAGGGCTCTGCCCCTGGAAGGGAGAAGCCTCATGTCTGAGGCCACTGGGGGTGGGGTGGTAGCTTAGTGTCTCAAGGGTGGAGATGAGGCTGTTCCCAGCATTAGCCTGCCTCCACCTCCCTGCAGCCTGCTTGCAAGTGGTTTCTAGCCAGAGGAGGCCCTGCCAGGGCTGGAAAGGGCAAAGGGTAGGTCCCCAAAGCCCCCATCCACTCTAGCATCACCATGCATCTCTGCAGCTTCTGGGCTTCTTCAAGGGAATGAGCTTCCCCATTGTGAGCAGAGCTGTGGTCAACTCCATTGTGTTTGGGGTCTACAGCAACACCCTGCTGGCGCTAACAGCAACCTCCCACCAGGAGCGGCGGGCCCAGCCGCCCAGCTGCATGCATGTCTTCATAGCAGGCTGCACAGGGGGCTTCCTGCAGGTGAGAGGGAGGTGTGGGGGCACACACACACAGGTGCATGCGCACACACACCGGTGCAAGCACGCGCACATACACGCACACACACACGCAGGGTTGGTCGGTTCCCTCCTTTCCTTTCAGCTCCCTCTGCACCCACAGTGCAGACCCCAGGCTTTCCCGAGGGGAACACAAGTTGCTGTGGGGAAATGATCAGCTCCCGGCTGCACCCTGTAACCCAGCCTGGCTGAGCTGTGCCCTTCCAGGCTGCGAGATCGGTGGGGAGGGTCATGGGGAACAGAGCGGGCAAAAGGCAGAGAGAGCCAGGGGAGGGGCAGGGAAATGGTGGCAAGAGGACACCATGGGGAAGCATGATGCCCCACCCCGAGGCTGACAGGCTTGCCCACCTCCAGAGGGGTCTGCCAGCCTCAGAGCTGCGGAAAGACCTCCCTGCAAGGTAACCTTTACCCTGGAGAACTGACAGCCCCCCCAGAGTTCCCAGGCCAGCCCTTGGGATCCCGGCACTTCCCCAGCGCCCCCCCACTCAGCACCCTCCTGCAGGATCTGGGTCATCTCCATCTGGGAGCCTCAGCCAGGCCCCAGTCCGCAGACCTCCCTAGAGAGGTCTAGGGTATTAATCATTAAGTAACTCTGGTCATTTGGTTGTCTTTCCAGGGGTGTGGTGGAGGCAAGTGGGGCCTCCAGGCACCAGGAGGAACCCCAACTGAATGGGGGGCCTGAGCATAGAGGCAGAGGGTCATGTGCCTGGCCTCACCCCACAGCCCACCCTGGCACCTTAGGTCACGCTCTGTTTTGCTCCTGTCCTGATGCTCCCAGCGTACTTCATGGGGCAGAGAGCAAGGGCAGAGGACAGAGTCAGGGGGCTCACTCAAGTGAATTGATGACTCATGAGACCCCAAAAGGTCCTGGCATTTCCTCTGCCCCTTCTTGTGTGGGGCACATGCCTACATATTTCCCAAGCCCTGAGACACACACCCCACAAAAACAAGGAAAACAACTGAGACCCCAGGCCAAATGGCCTGATTTAGGACCAGCCAGGACCAGCTCCTAGGTCACCCTCCCCTCCAGCTCCTTGGAAAGCAGACCAGAGAGCAGAGCTGGGGACTGTAGGGTCAGTGATGGGGTCGCTAGGGACCAGCTGGAGCCTGGGTTTGCCCTCAAGTGCATGGCTTCAGGTTAACAGGGTCTTGGAGCAGAAAACGTGTTTAGGTGGGAAGAGGCAGGAAGTGACTGATGATCAGCACAGGGCAGGGAGTGACAACCTCTGAAGGGCACTGGATTTGCTTTTGGCTCAGCTGGGGCTGAGTGTCAAACATCGCAGCAGCACCTGATGTCCCCAGTGCCCTAGCCCACCCCTGTCTGCCACCCTACCTTTGTCCCAGCCATTTCCTCACCTCACTTCAGCTCCTGGAGAAGCGCTCAGCTTGGCACTGCCCACAGGCTCCGGAGGGTGACATCAGGGCCCCATGTCACAGGGAGCCCAGCCCACTGCCCTTCCTGCAGGGGGGAAGTAAGCAAATTTGGCCTGCCACTCTTTAGATCACTGCCAGCACCAGCTGCCAGCCTCCTCTGCCGTCGGCCATCTCCAGGGCTGAGGTGCTGAGCCCCTGTACCTTCCGTGAAAGAGAGAAACAAACCCAAATGTCCTGCTAACTGCACCTGGGCCTCTGCTCACCTAAACTTTAACAGCTGATTTTGACCTGGTGGCACCCCAGACCCGCACACCTTAGCTCCCCCCAGCCCCCAGCTCACCCACCCAGTGCCAATACCACCCCAAACCAATACCTGTGCCTCAGCCAGGTGACATGAGCTCTAGGACCTGTAAGCTCCACCCTGTCACCCACCTTCGGTTGGAACACCGGTGCTTGGGGGTTTGTGAGAGGCAGGGAGGGCTTGCTCCCCTCAGGGACCTCTGAGAGGTGTCGCTGCCGACAGGTGCTCCTCCCTGGCTTTGGGAGCTAGGAACCCTGCCCGCTCCTGGAAAGCAACCCAGGCTTGTCCCGCCGTGTGCCTGCCAGCCCAGGCGCCCCCTGCCCTCCTCTTGTTCAAACAAGCCTGTTCCTGCCCAAAGCCCCACCCAGGGCCTTCACGCTTCCTTCCCGACAGGCCTACTGCTTGGCCCCTTTTGACCTCATCAAAGTCCAGCTACAAAACGGACGGAGCCATGGGTGCAATCGGGGAGCCCCCCACCCCGGTACTGGGGACGGGTGCACTGTGCAACCTCCATCTTCCAGGAGGAGGGACCCCGGGGGCTGTTCGGGGAGCCTGGGCCCTGACGCTGAGGGACACCCTCACCCTGGGGATCTATTTTGTCATCTATGAATGGTTCTGTCGCCAACCCACCCTAGATGGCCAGAACCCCAGTAAGTGAAGGGGCTTGAGAGGGTAGGCCACAGAGGGTGGGGGAGGGGGGCCGCCCCCTGGAGGCTGGGCAGGGAGACTGGGGATGGGACGGGATGCTCTGTTCCTCAGCCTGACCCGCCGGGCTTCCTCTGCCCCAGGCTCAGGTACAGTGCTGGTGGCAGGGGGCTTTGTCGGCATCGCCTCCTGGGCAGTGGCCACCCCCTTGGACGTGATCAAGTCCCGGATGCAGATGGCCAGGCTGAAGCAGAGGGAGTACCGGGGGGTGCTGGACTTCGTGGTAAGCAGCGCCCGGCAGGAAAGACTGGGGGTCTTCTTCCGGGGGCTCACCATCAACAGTGCCCGCGCCTTTCCCGTCAACGCCGTCACCTTCCTCAGCTATGAATACCTCCTGCGTTCCTGCGGGTGAGCCTGGCCAGGCAATGCCCGCAGCTCCCCAGCGGCGGCCCTGCTCAGTGACCCAGATGGGAGGCCAGGGCGGAAAAGCCCCTTGCGGTTCGGGTGTGAGGCTCAGCCCTGCTCTGGATCACCGCGTGGCCTCACAGGCGCAGCCAGGGCTGGGGTGCCGGAGGCCAGGGCCCTGGACTCGCCCAGACCCGGGCTGCTCTCAGCCTCCCAGTAACACGTGCCTCATTCCTGTGCTGCCCAAGCCCGAGGTAAACTGGCTAGCCCATGAGCTGTGACCTTCTGGCCCCGGCCAGTGATGTCACCCCTCAAAGAGCTCTCAGGGCCTGCACTCTGCTACTGGGTGCTAGCCACCCCCTGGATTCCAGCGACTGCGTCCTCATCTGCCTTCCACCTCGCCTCCTTTCAAGCGCCCCCCCACCAAATGACTTGAGTGGATTTTGTGCCTCAGAATCCTTCGGTGGCTCCCAAAACCTTACGGACAAAACCAAACTCCCCCACCTACCGGGCTCTCTCTGCACAGGAACCTTCCTGTCCCTCAGCTTCGGCAGCCCGGCCCTGCCTGAGAACAAGCTGTGTTCTCACTGTCCTGGGCCCGGAAGCCTTGTCCCCACCGGGGAAAGCGAGCAGTGCCTGCAGCGACCCCGTCATCCCTCTGGCTGAGCCCACTCGCAGTCGCAGGCTGAGCACTGTCTCCTGGAGTCCTTCCTCCGCTTGTCTCCGGCCCCAGGCAGACTCTGGGGAGGCCAGTCCCACCTGCACGCCATGATCATAGCCTCACCTGTGCTGGGTCGTAGTTGCTGATTCGCTTCTCAGCTTCCCCCTTACACTGGGAGGTCCTTGAGGTCAGGTCCTACTTTGGATTATTTCTCAGCATGGAGCCCCATGCGATGCTCAAGGCGCCCGGGGAAATGCTCGCTAGATGAAGCGCTGATTGCCAATCCAACTTCTCTCCCTCACTCCAACCCGCACACCTGCTTCCTTGGCTCTTGCCCCCTCCACTGAGAGGTGTGGCTGCCTGGGCCCCTCTTGGGTGCCAGAAATGGGGGTGCCACCTCACGCACTCCCATCCGCATCCCGTGGCACTTGTTTACCCATCTCAATTGCTAAGTGGGAATAAAAACTAGCTAAGTGGTGTCATTTAACTGCAATAAAGCTGAGCAGTTTGTACCTACTAATGTCCTGACCTGGCCTGAGATTGACCTGGACCCACCTCCTAGTGTTTGGAACACCAGGAATTCCTGCCATTACTGGGGATCCCTACAAACGGCCACAAGATACTCATCAGTTTCCAGAGGACACAGCCTCAGCTCAGGGACAGTATGGAACTAGTCCCAGGTCACATGACTGGTGTGTCACATCACTTGCCTGGGCGCATTCGAGCCTCCAACCCCAGCGCCCAGTTGCTCTGCTACCCTGCTCTACCTGGGGCCTGGGACAGTCTCCCATGGGTCACCTAAGTTCAGATTTCAGGGCCAGAGTCGACAGCACCAGCCCCTGGGTGTGCTCCTCGGAGCTCTTGTTTACTCTTATTCCTTGGATTGCATGCCAGAGACTGCAGGTGGCACCCACATCATCCCACTTCCTCCAACACTGGTGTGGCCGCGGGCATGTGGCCGCGGGGCCAGGCTACATTTCCAGACCTCCCTTACAGTTCAGTGGGGCCCATACTTGGGCTTTTGCTAGAGAAATGTGTGATGCATGCCAACTGCCCATCTCTTGCTTTCAAGGAGATTCCTCTCTGTTGGCTGGAAATGGTGACCCCGGGAGACTCTCCTGAGGACACAGGCCGCACCTTGCTGGCCTGGAAGCTGGCAGACATTGGGAAGTCAGCCCACCTGACCACCCCAGGTCACTGCTTCTGCTTGTCTCTCTGTTGCAACAGTTTACCCTCCTCCCCTAATGAACACTGCAGGTGAGGGTCTCATGAGTTTCAAGGTCAGGATGGACCCTGTGGGGTCCTAGGAGCAGCCTCAGCAGGTGAGAAATGCAGAATCCCAGGCCCCACCTGGGACAGATCAAATCAGAATCTCTGAGGCAGGGGCCCAGAAATCTGTGTTGTACAAAGCTCTCAGGTGACTTTCATGCACACGCTGAAGTTTAAGAACCTGTGTTCTGAAGGCTCCTAAAGCAGAAATGTACTGCCCTTTCAGGCTAGGAAAGTTGTGAGTCTGGTGGAAGCGACTTGAATTCCTACTTCTAGCAGCCTCCACTCCAGCACAGATTTAAGAAGCCTATATTCCTGGTTTGGAAAAACAGGGGCAGTCTGAGGTCTGTCTGAGCCCTTCACTGCTCTTTCTGTGCTTCAGTTTCCTCTGAGATCCCTTCTGGTTGCTCAGCCTGCCAACACCAGTGGCTGCCCAGCACTGCCTCAGTGCAGGAGGTGATGGCATAGCTGCTGTGGGAACTCCTGGGGGCAGTCAGAGGCTGGAAGGCAACAAACAGTGTATGTGTGACGGAGGAGGTGGTTCTTATAATTGGGGCAGGAAGGGAGTAGGAGGCCTATTTAAGAACCACTGGCCCGTGCTTTCATGTTGTCCCCCCTTCCCGTACACTTTTTTTGTGTGGGACTCTTTGATTATAACTGTCTCTCCTCTAAACTGTGAGCTCCATGAATCAGAGACCTTGTCTATTTTTGTTCACCCTCAAAACTAGCTGGCATACAAAGGTGCACAATAAATAGTTCTGAGCAAATGAATAAATGAATAACTGCAAGAAAGAAAACTGGTCTTCCCGACTTCCCCTCTGGTAGGCTGGTGCTCTAGACATTAGGTAGAGCCTTTCTTCTATAAAGCAACAAGATTCCAGATCCATCATAACAAACATGATTTTAAAACCATCGCTTATTTTGCAAGAAGTAAGGGAACTCCCCAAGAACCCCCTTCAAAATAAGGAAGGGAGTGTATACCAGGATGTTGGAGCTGGGCAGCCCCTGGAACAAATGCTAATGCCAGTACCTTGGAGATTAAAGAACCACACAGAAGACTAGATCGTGAGTCCACACACAGTGGGCGAACAAAGCCAAGACTTGTAAATTAAGCCAAGATCCTGGAAAAGGTGAAAGACTGGGTCAGGTAATCTCCACCCACCAGTAAAGGGAATTTTCAAAGAAACCTGCTTCTCTCCCCTTTGGTGGAAAAAATAAAGAATAAGATCAGCTCCCCTGTGAGCTAGGAACCCTGTGCCACACTTCAGATCTGCAAGCCTTCTGAGGCAAAATTAATTTATCATGGTTGTAGCGCACCCTCGTGTCTAGTAGGAATAATGACAACCTTTGCTAAAGGCAAGCGCCCTTAATCAGAATCTTCAGGTTTTCCGGAGATTAACTGCAAGCCATGAAAAAATGCCCAGAACAAAAAATTACCAGACACACAAGGGAAAAAGCTACAATGGGTTAAAGCATCAGTAGAAACATGAGCAACAGATTTATCCCCCAAGGAGTTCAGCTGCTAGATTTATCAGATACAGAAAGTAAAATAATCTTGCATGAAATATTTAAATAGAGAAAAGAATGAGAAGAAACAAGAGAGTATAAAAATGATAATTTATATCTGAAAAAAATCCCCTCGAAACTGTCATGGCTGAAGAGAACTGGAAGAGAGATGGGAAGAAATTATTCACTGTGCAGTGTAGAAATGTGAGAAGGTGGGGAACTGATCCTTCTACTTTTGGGCTCTGCATCTAGCTCATCATAAGACTGACGGTGACGACAAACATAGTAATAATAACTAACGTGGGCATAGTGTTTAAAATACTGCCTGGCAAGTAGTAAAACATTTTATAAATGTTAATTTGTTTAATCTTCACAGCTGACTCATGGGTCACTTCCTACCCCTCCCTCTGGCTTGCGACCACCTTAAGAACAGGAACTGCGTCCTCTTCATCTTTGCTGCCCTGGGACCTTGTATGCCTCCCGAACATACAGGATGCTCATCACAGTCTTGTAAATCAGCTGGAATAATGCACATGATTAATTTGCTGCCCACCACCACCACTTTGCATGAAGAGATAACCTAGAAAAGTGGATAGGCCTGCCTGACTTTGATAGAAAATCAGATCTGCTGGGAAGATCTCTTCGCGCCCCTTCTTCCTTCATCCCTCAAGCCCTGTCCATGAGGAGGTCCTGCCGACTGCACTAGCTCCCTAACTTCCTCGGTTTTCCAGCCTCGTCTTTTGCTCCCCAGCTCCCCGTATGCTCTTCACACAGCAACCAGAATCAGATTTTTCAAAGCTCAAAACATGCTGTGATCCTTCATTGTCTAAATCTCCCCACTTCAAAACGACCCTTCCTGTTTCACATAAACGAAATGCAAATGCGCCGGCTCCAAGGCGCTGCCCTCCTCTCCGCCCGCCTCTTCTTGGCCCTCTCACTTTCCCGCACAGGGTGGCTTTCGGTTTCCTAGGTCTGTCAGGCGGTTTCTAACCTTAGATGTCTGTAGCAAGTGTTCCCTTTCCAGAGAACAATCTTCCTCCGGAAGAATGTTTCCTTATCATTCACGACCCAGCCCTCCGAGGTGAGCCGTTTACCTCGCACCCTTCTCCCAGACCCTCTCTACAGCGTCATTCTCTTATTTTCATCTCCGCCCATACTGCTCAGTGAGTGCGTTCTAAAATAACTGTGTTCATTTGTTTACTTGCCTCTTTGTGATCTCCCTCTACCAGAGAGTAAGGGCTTTGAGAGGAGGGGGCCTCTGTCTTATCTGCACAGCTTCACGATCCTACAACAGGGCCTGGCCCACAAGCAAAACGTTCAGTAACTCCTGCCTGAATGAGCCAACACAGTCACCCACAAACAGGCAAACGATGAGTAATGATAACGATGCAAGAAAGGAAGAGGTTATTGTGGTTTAGAGAAAAGCTGGGGGAAGCAATCAGTGATTACACTGTGTCTACTGATGCCGCTCTAACTGGAACATGATGCCTGAGAGCAGAGGGCTCATCTGTGTCCTCTTTGTTGCTCTGGTTAGAGATTGTGCAATTTTGTTGCCAACATTTCAAAAGACGTATGTCAGCACTGGGAAAAGGGCTATCTGAGTGAATGCAGGTGGGAAAAATAGAATCTGTGGGGAAAATTAATAAAATCCTAATTAATTTAGGATTTTAGGCTAGAAATGAAAGAATGGCAGGGGGCTTCAGAACTGTTTAAAAGTGAGTTAGCATGGTCAAGTTGCCAGGTGTTGAGGTGACAATTAGGACCACGAGCCAAACTGAAAGTAATAATCAGCCTGTACTCACTTGGGACAGCAATGCAAGAGGCAAAACGAGGCAGCAGCTCCCCAGTGCTCCATTTTCCTCAAGGGAACAGCACCGTAAGGGTCAGATGATAGGCAGATAGGGAGCTGTCTGTTAGGGACCCCGATTAAAAGGCTCCTTCCTTCTTAGTAGTGAAGGGTGTGTTGTTAACGTGGAGATAGTGTCTCAGCCAGCGTCCCCAGTAAGGTCTGGGCAGAGGCGCCTGAGAAATGCTGAGCTGGGGCCCGATAAGGAGGGGTTGGCCTGGGAATGCAGCTGTGCAGGAGCGTGGGGGCCCCCAGGTGCCTGAGTCCTTGGGTGCCCCACCCTCCAGAAAACTGCCCCACCCTGGCAGGTGATGGTCTACTGCCCTTCCTGCCTCGGTAGGGTTTGGCCTGGAGCCTGAATCTTCTAGCCAGCATCCTTCTGCAACCAAAGTCCCGACCTTTCCAGAAAAGCTGTCCTGTTCGCATCCCGTGATCTGGCTCCAGCTGCATCTCAGCTGCACCAGAGTCTCTGCCTCCAGGTCTCACATCTTTGATGCACCCTCCCCATCTCAGCTACTCTAGAATGCCACAAATGACCTGTTCCACTCAACTGAAACCTTTTGGGGTGCCCCACCACCAAACTTGGAGGACTGAAGACTGCTCCCACTACCCACCTCCCCGCCGCCCCAGTAGCATTGTGCTCCTTTTTTCCTGGTCAGCCTCCACACCTGCTGCCCCTTGGCCTGGACGCTCCCTCCCAGCTTGTCCCTCAAGCTGCAGCTCAGAGTTCACCTCGTCCAGGAGTCAGTCTCCCCAGGCTCTACGGGGCCCCCGCACTTTGTACATGCTTTTAGGACAGACCTTAATCACGCTCTGCTGGTTGTCTGCAAGGCGCTGCCCAGCAGGGACACCATCTTTGCAAACCTTATCACACAGGAGGCCTGGCTGAAGAGATGTAGTGAAACCAGCAAGCGAACAAATGCCTACTCCAGGTTCTGGCTCCTTTCTGTTTCCTTAGAATGTCCCTAGTCTGCCCCCCACTTCCTGTCGGCACCCTCACACGCAATCTGGGAGCAAAATGATCAGAGTGCAGAAGGTCCTGGGGCAACATTTGGGATCTGTTAGCCTGGCAGAGGGTCCGTACTGTTCATTGCCAGACAGCCCAGACCCCCCCAGAAATCAAACAAATCTGAGTTGAAAGTTTTCACCTTTCTCCCATGAAAATAACACCCTGGCCTCTTGTCTGATTAAAAGCTTTATTTCTAGAAGCAGAACTCTTTAACCCACAGGTCAGGGATCAGCCTGTCTATAAACCCCAAATCCCACTTTCCCAAGTCCCAGCCTCCCTTGAGGTTCAGAAGCTCCACCACCTGGCTTCACTCCTGCAGCCCCTATCTCTGGACCCCTCTTCTCAGGGATGGATGGATCACCTTCGCTCAGAGCTCAGACTTGGTCTCCCAACTTGTCTCCCTTCTACACTTTTCACAAAAGCTCCATTTCCATAGGAAAGACACCAGCCAGTCACCTGCCTTCTGAGAGAGGGTGTTTCCATGGGAAACAGGAGAGGAGGGGGCCTTCACAGGCAACAGAGCCGCTCCACCTCCTCCTCACAGGCATAGAATTTTTCAAATAGTTCAGGAGAGGTGCTATTGCACTCAAACCATCTCCTCAGTGTGCCCAGGGCCCGGAGGGCATCGGCTTTGGTGGGCAGAGGCTCGAAGCCATCCTCCCCAGCCCCCTCCTCATCTTCCGTGCCCGTCTCCTCTTTGCATGCTCCAGACACAGGCCCCTCACCCTCCAGATCCACAAAGCGGGAAAACTCCTCGTGGCTCAGCCCGCCAGGGGCTGGCGGCATCTCAGGGGCTTTGTCTGGGGACAGAGGCATTTTCCAGGGAGCCAGCCCTTCCTGAATGAAGCTACTGACAATGAGCTGGGGAGGCACCTTGGCCCAGGCTGCTGCCGCCATGTGCAAAGCATCCAGCCCTGTGACACCTGCCCCAGCCTCAGCCAGTGAGGTGCCAGCCCTCTTGCTCTGGATGGCAGCCAGCTTGCCCAACAGACGGTGCCGGTAATGGGCCTTAAAGGACCGGACCACGGAGCTGGGCAGGGAAGGCATGATGCCAGCAGCAGACAGAGGCAAGAGCCTCACATGGCAGAGCCCAGGCAGGCCTGCCAACTCTTCTGCCACTTGGGCAGCCAGCAGCAAGGCTACCTGTCGGCCTTGCTGCCCCATGTCCCGATCAAACTGTGCCAACCACTCTGACCAGGGGATGCCCAGGTCAGGGTGGTAGGAGGCGGGCAGAGCCTCACTGCTGACCCCAAAGAAGCACCTTGATGCAGCCTGGAGCCCACTGACCAATACCCGCCGCTTCTCTGTGCCTCTGCTGTTGGCACAGAGCAGCACCTGTACTTGATCACATATACCCACTCTGCCGGGCACTGCCCGATAGAACAAGGGCACCTCCACACAGCCAAAAAGGTCCTCTGGGGAGAAGTCTTTAAGGGAAAGAGGCAGCTGGGCCTGGGCTATGGGGCCTGAGGAAGGTGGCTCAGGGGGGAACGGAGTTGCAAGTACATGGCGGGACACAAAGCCTACATTGTTTCGGCGTTTCCAGCGGACCAGCCAGCCGATGCTGGGCACAAAATCCTGGCCCATGATGTTCGCCAGCTCCTTGGCTTTGTGGAGCAGCATGGGCCCCGTCACATCCCAGGCCTTGGTCCGGGCAATGTGGTACCAACAGAGCAGAGCCTCGTCAATCCCGCTGTACTTGGACTCCCGCTTGCGCTTCCGCTCGCGGTTGGCTGTGCCGCTGCACCAGTCCGCCAGCAGCTTCTCCTTATTCTTGCAGATGCGTGAGATTTGGGGCTGGGAGACCTGGAAGCGCCGGGCCACCTCTGACTGGGACATCTTGGACTCATCCAGGAGTTCCAGCACCTGGATCTTTTCAGCCAGAGACAGGGCATGAAGCTTCTTCTTGCTGCTCAGCTCCATGGCGTCTTCACGGCACCTTTGGGGGTTGGACACAGCAGGGTACAGGTGGCTGAGACCAGGAGGCATGGGAGAGGAGCACAGGAAGGAAAAGAGAATCTAGGAGGACAGGAAACAGGCCAGTGTGTGGGCAAGGCCAGGGCAGATGGGATTGGGTGGGAGAGGGTGAGAGGTACGCTGGGTCGGCGGAGAGCAGGCTGGCCTGAAGGAAGGGAAGCGGCCAGGCTGGGTGAACAGTGGGCTAGGCAGTAATCCGGAGGAACGCCAGAACGGAGCTGGGGAGGGCTGGCCCCGGTCAGATGGAGAAGGGAGTCTGGCCTGGGCTTTGGGGCAGCCAATGAGCAGAGCTGACAGGACAGCTGCAGACAACAAAGGGGTGTGGAGGGGGGAGGACGTGGGGCTGGGGCTAAAGGGGCAGATGTAGAGGATAATCAAGGCTGGGGGAGGAACCCCTGGGAAGGGGAGGGCATGACGGTCTGGGCAGGATTTGGATGCAGACAGTCGGGGGCGGGGTGTTGGAGTGGATGCACAGAGTTAAGGTGACAGATGTACAGACGACAAAGGGGACCGATGGGGGCTGAAGAAGCGAGTCTGATTTGGTGCTGGGTCCTGAGGAGGTAAGGCTCGGCGGGGACCCTGTCTGGAGGAAGAGTGGGAGCACAGGGCCAAGAGGGCAGGTGCACAGGCGACAAAGGGCAAGAGGGGTGAGGAGGCCGCGGGCAGTGAGAGGGGCAAGGGTGTCCCCCGAGAGGGGGGTGGCCTGGGAAGGGTACCAGGAGCGGGCACGAGTGCCTGGGACCTAGGCCGGCCCGGAGCTGGGCTCCGCAACCTGGGCAGCCTCTCCCCACCTCGACGCGGGGTCCGTCGGCGTGGCGGACGCAAGCGCCCGTCCGTTCGGCCTCCCCACCTCCCGGCCTCGCGGCCTCCCGCTCCGAACCCACCTCAGGCGCTCGTCCCGCGGCTCCCGCCCCTGCCCCGGCCCAGCTCCCGAGCCGCTGTCCGGGCGGCGACGGGAGAGCAGGGGAGGGACGGGCGCCACGACCCAGAGGGCGGAGCGGGCCGAGGGGCTGCAGGGGCGGCGGGCGCGCGCACAGCAATGCCCGGTGCGCGCCGCCCGAGCTGGGCTCTCTCCGGGCTGGGAAGATCGCGGTGCCGCGGCCGGGCTCCCACCCGCCGCAGCCCCGCCCCAGACCAATCAGATTGGCCTTCAGTAACGTCCTGTCCCGCCCCTGGCTAAGCTTCATTGGACTTGGCGGAAGTGGCGGTTCGTCGGTCCCTCCAGGGGGCGGGGCTTACAACGCGAGGCGGCGGCGAGGCGGAGCCAAGCCCGGGCCGAAGTCCGCGAGGCCAGGCCGCGGCTGGGGACCCACCCTCCCAGCCGGACGAGCCTCGGGGCAGAGTCGGGGCCAGAGAGAGGACCTGGCGTCCCAAGGGCTTCTGGCTGAGACCCCAGGCAGCCGTAGCCTCCTCATCTATCAGAGGGTTATATCCCTCACGGAGTGGTTTTGAGAAAATGAATGCAACCTTTCGGCTACACAAAAGCTGTTACCATGGACAGCGCTGGCCTCACGTCAACCAGCCCAGCTATGGACAAACTACCAGCCTGGGGCCAGTTCTGATTTAGGGCGAGTAAAGACTAATTTTTACTAGTTTTAGCACCTGTTGGCAATATTCAAGTTCCTAAACTCAAGATGTGATGTCATTCCCTTCCTTGGTAACCTTCAGTTCTGTACCTACCTAGTCTCTGCAGTTAAATGAAGTCACCCTAACCTGCGCCCAGGGTTCTCTACCTTTGCTTTCAGCCTGCTTTCCGGACCTGCCTCTCGCCGCGCCTCACAGCCGAGTGGAAGACTGGGGCCACAGGTGAGATCCCGTCTTAACAGGCTTCCTCCCACCCAAACCCTACTGGCTGATGCTTTTTGGCCCCATCCTAAATCCCACTTCTTGCAAACCTTTTTCAACTTCTCTTATGCCTGGTACAACGTTCTCATTTCTTAACTTTCTTTTTACGTTTATTTTCTGGTCCTTAAGACTGCTCAACCACCAAGGATCATTGATTTACTCCCTCTGCTCTGGCTTACTTCCATGCAAAAACCATGAGGACAGGGACTCTGCTCTGTTCCTAACAATTCCCACCCCCAGAATACCCTGCTCACTTCCTGAATGCAAAGGCCTAGGCCACTGCCTTCCAGTAGGTAACAAGTGGCTTTCACACGGTTCCAGGAAACCCTAAGGACACTTCAGGGGGGTTGTGATGCTTTGAAACTTTTTTTAGAACTTCAAAATACACTCAGTGAGATACATAAGATCCACTATGATAGCTGTCAATAGTTGACTGAAAGGAAACCTTTTTGTGCACATACACATGCCCCCAAGGATGGCTGCAATGCTGCACTACTGGCCAAGTGCACGCACACTGCACTGGAATGAACGAACCAGGCAAGCAAGGCTGAAGCGCCTCTGCTCAGGCTCACTACTTGTGCAAGAAGCTTTCAGGTGTCCCACTGTGAGGTCTTTAGTCTTCTGTGTCACTAATTCTTTCAAATGTTTCTGGACCCATTTTAAGCACCTGAAATTGGAAGGTGCAAACTTCACCACTTGCATATACAAGTCTAGCAGGGTTTCCTTGGGACCAACCAAAATACAGAAATAAAAAGGATGCTAAAGTCAATTTTAACCCAAATTTTGTATTAATCAAACCTTCATTATTTCAAATAATTACTTTAAATTCAGTTTACTTAAGAAATTAAAACTATCTAATTTTGTATCTGCTTTACATACTGGGTGGGATTCAGCAAAAATTCTGATTTTGGGGAAAAAACAAACTATTTCACAACATTTAAAAACCATTGCCCTACAAAAGACAGTTCAAGGATGAAGGGGCCCTCTTAGCCAGGAAGAGGAATCCGCAGACAAACCATTCAGCAGGGGACTCTGTGTAAAAATGTTTATTTGTACTAATGTTTTAGAATACAGGGACTAAGAAAGCAAAGAAAGATAAATGACACCTCAACTCCAAATCATATGGCCTGCCCATGGCCAAGGGAAAGGCCACTTCAGGGTGTCCTGGTAATGGACTATCCCCCCACTACTTAATGTTTAGTGTCACCAGGCAGAAAAACCGAGGAATCAGGGTTGAAGACCTTACCAGCTGCTAGCTGAGCGTGCAAGGGAAGAAAGGGATGTCTACGGGGCTTCCCTGTGACCCAGGAGCCAGGATAAACGGCAGGAGGCAGAGGCTCCCAATTCGGTTAAGGGCAGGAGCTGAATGCCCAGGTCTAGGAAGAACAAAAAGGGGATTTTGGAGGTAGGCTTTTTCATCGAGTTAAAAAACAGGCACATTATCCAACATCTCCCTGTGGCCCCCAAGCTTCTGGCCTGGCCCCTTGATGCTTCCCCTCTCCCCACAAAACTAAAGGGAATAAGGAAGGGAGGCAGAAAATAGGAAATTCCAAGGGTGGGGAATGCTCGAGTCACTAGAGACCGCCTGTAAGCATGTGCCAGTTAAGCACAAGAATCAGGGTAAAGCGGCTACACCCCCTGAAGCGGGGTGGAGTGGGACAGGACGGGGCCAGGAGGGTGACCAAGAGCGTCCTGGCTCCAGCAAAGGATCCCAGATAGCAGCAACAGAGGACTGCAGAAGCCACTCTGGGGGAAGGTGGTGGCAAGGCAAAGCAGCACGAAGGGCATGGAAAGTTCCCCACAAGCCTGGCCTCAGCCTGCTGAGTTGCTCACTCCCAGCCACTCCCCAGCCTGGCTCATCTCTGGGGGAAGGGGAAACCCTGGGAACCAGAGTGGAGGCAGCTGAGAGGCGGAGCTGCTCCCCACTCTTTCTCAGAGGGGACTGTTTGAACCCTGTGATCCCAGGGCCGGGGCCCAAGGCAAGCAGAGTAAATGCACTTCACGGAGAGCAGTGAGAAGCTGGCCCACAGGGGCACCTTGCGGGAGTGTGCTGCTTGGTTCTCCCTGAGGGCCCGGGGCCAGAGGCAGGCAGAGCTGCCATCTCAGCTTGCTGCTGCCAAAGGCAGGTTGGCGCAACCACCCCAAGGTTCTCTGGACTTGTAAAAGAGGAGGAAGGAAAAGGTGGGTATGAAAAACAAGAAAGGAGATAAACAGCCATAGATGTATCGGGGGACTGGGGTGGTGGTGGGGTGGCCACATCAAGAGGAATTCTGGTTCTGATAGATGGAAGCTTTCTCCTTCAACAGGTCCAGACACAAGTGGCAGCTCCAACTCCCTGCAGAGGAACACAACAGGATCAGGATGGGTCCCACACAACCCTAATGTGCTGTCCTTCCAATGCCCCACACTTCTCCAGTAGCAGGATCAGGAGCTACGAAGATGGGAGACATTCTGAGTAGCAAAGTTTCATAGTTATCCTAAGCTGGGAGGAACCTCTAGGTCTTCAAATACCATGAAAAATCATTTTCAGTGGAAATGAAAGAATCACCTGGAAGACTTTTCCAGAACAGACTCCTCCCACCCTGCCTGGTCCCTTGGCCATACCCAATCAGAATCTCTAGGAGGAGGGCTTGAGCAGATTAATTTAAAGCATCCCAGCTTCAGACTTGCAATTACGGAAGAACTATGCCTCCTACCATGGCCCAATGGTTAGAATAAAGATCTTGGGTAGAGGCTCTAATGAAACCAGAAAGATAGCTTTCTGTGAAAACCATGGGAAGATGAGACGGGTTTCTCATCATCAGGTATCTGAGCAGAGGCTAAAGACCCATTAGAGGAAAAAGGGGCAAACTAGGGTGACCCAACCTATTACGACCCAAGTTTAGTTTCACAGAAAAAGAAATAATGTCCTTCCTAAGAAAATAACTGGCTTATACCTTGTTTATTAATATTTATTATGTTTGATTCTTCTGGGTTTTTTTTGAGAAACAAAATTAGCCCTTAATGCCTTGAAATTATAAGCATAACTGTACATATGTGTATTTGGACATTATTCTGGGGCAAAAGGCCATAGCATTTATAAGCTCTTCAGAAATATGTGACTCAAAAATGTAAGAAGGTTCTTTTTAACCCAAAGGTCAATCAATGCCTCAGGGGTTGGCAAGCTTTTCTGTAGAACAGTCAGAATGTTAAATATTACAGGCTTTGTAAGCCACATACAGACTCAGTCACATCTTTTCTTAAAACTCCCCTTAAAAATGTGAACATCATTTTTAACTTGTGAACTATATAAAACTAGCTGTAGCTGGATCTGGCCTGTGGGTCCCAGTTTGTTGACCCCTGACCTAAAGCCTAGACCATCTGATGGCTTCTCGGGGATTCTCCCTCAGCTGCCTGCAGCTCTTACTACCTCAGTATTGACAGTACTTCATTCAATAGGAGAGCCCTTCTACAGTTACTGTTGAATTCTAAGTTGATAATTTGTCGTTAAAAAAATAAAACACACACACACACAAAAATAAAGTAACAACAAAACAACGCATTACTTCTCCCTAAGATGGATTTATAACTGGGCATAACAGATGCTAACAGCTGAGTGCTCCCCTGCAGCTGCTAAAGGACTCTCAGACTTTGTTAGTGGCCTCTTTCTCTAGGGGGAGGGTGACAGCAGTTTGACCTATCTTACCATCAGCTTAATCACGTAGTGGGCCACACCTGTCACAGCTACTGGGCATCCGTGTCCTCCTTAGCAAGCTCCTGAATTTCTATAAAGGAGGATGTCAGCACAGAATCTGGCTGCACAGTGATTTGTTGAGCGGCAGCTACTTTTTGGTGCCATCACTGGACTCGCTGAAGAGCTCCCATAAACTCGGAACATTCCTAAGCCAACTACTGGAAGGGTAGAGTGACCCGGTCAGTGTCCAGGTTCAACTCCCTTCTGGCTTAGGCAGGGGAAGGGAGGAAATGAACACTCAAATGAATCATTTGGAGAGCTGATACTGAAGCCTCATACCAGAGAAGCTATGAACTGAGTTTCCTGTGCTGGCTGGAGGAAAATCACTCCTCCTGGTAATTTTTCTCTGCTCAGTGTGCATTTTCTCTCAGGCTGCCAATTTTCTGTGTTTGTAAATGTAGATGAAATGGTAGGAAAGCATTCTGAATTGAGTGAAGGCCAAGTGTCTACTCCCTAATTTGGAAGACTATTATCACTGATAAGAAAACTCATTTATTACACAGGTAATTTTCCAAGTTACTAATATAGGAATTGTTCTGGGAAAGAGATCTGGGCAACCTACCTTCAGGAGGCTCAGACATCGACGGGGTGAGACAGTACATATGGTAACCACGATCACAGTCATCACAAAAGAGCAGCTGGTCCTAGAGAACAGGAAGGGGGCAGGTGGACGACTACTGGGCCTCAGTCAGGCCCCTGGGGGCAAGCGCAAAGGCGGGCTGCGGTGAGCACTGGAGGCAGTGACAGACACAGGAAGCTCCGGATAGAAAACACTGCTGTCCTCCCCCCACACAGGTCACAGCCCTCTCACCCGGATCCTACCAGACTCCTAGCTCATCTCACAGCCTCCACTCGTCCCCTACAATCTGTTCACAGAGAGCACCCAAAGTAGTTTATATTTTTAATGTAAAGGAGGCCATGCCACTCCCAGTTAAGCCCTCAGACCTGATGGTGCCTTCCTTCCCACCTCATCTACCCGCTCTCCCAGGGCAGGAAGGCTCCAGCCATCCACACTGGCCTCACTGTAACTGGCTCGTCTGCCTGAGGCCCCTGCACTTGCACCTTCCCTGTAACGCGCTACCCCCAAACTGTCTTGGACTGGCTCCTTCGTATCCTCCAAGTCTCAACACCAGTGGCACCTCCTAGGAAAAGCTGTCTCTGATCGCTGTTCAGTCACTCTCTGCCACATTACTAGTTTCATTTTCTTCACGGCACATCATAAAAATGTCACTAATTTCCTTGCTTACGGTTTGTTCCCAAAAGAATATAAACTCCGTGAAAGCAGGAACCTTGTTTGTCTTGTTTCCATCACCCTCAGTGCCTATAATAGCGTCTGACACAAAGTTGGTGTTCAATAAACACCTGCCCACAAATCAAAGTTCCTACTGGGATGCTGGGAAGGGGCATGCAGGAGTCTTTTTGCCACAGGACTGTGGGAAAAGCAATAAAAGGAGCACGCTGGGAGGGGCAGGGGCACGCACGTCGTTCTCTGAGGTGCCACAGATGTTGCAGCACTTGCACTCGATGCACTGCCAACGGTAGGTCTTCACTGCCGCCATCATCACAGGGGTGAACTGCAGGCAAGATGGATGCCCTGTGGGGATGGGGAGAAGCAAGGTGACTTGGCCATGACAGCCATGGGACACCAGGAAGTCAAGCCTCTCGGGGACTGGGCACTGGCTGCAGCGGCCCTCACCCTAGGGCTGCAGGTACCTGAGCGGCCGCAGTCTGAACAGGACACCAGCTCCTCAGGCTGTCCTGTCTTCTTGTTGATCTTTGAGTCTCCCAGGCAGAAATCACAGTAGTTGTTGGGCAGGGCCAATCCATCTGGACCCTTCTTGGCTAAAAGGGGCGAGAGAAGACCTCTGATGACACCCATGGGCCTTGAGGCCACTCAACAACCTGCAAGGAGGGGTTTTTGTAACCAGGCCAATTCCTGCTTGCCCACCTCTGATACCTCAACTTACATTTCTGCTCCTCCGACCTCTGGGAAACAGGGGTGGGGGGCTGCGAGTCCTCCTTGTCCTCGCCCTCCTCCTCAGCCAAGTGGGAGTGGGCATAGTGGTAACTGAGGCCTGGTCGGTTCTTGTAACGTTTTCCACAAACTTAGTGGGGAGAAGATCGCAGAGGAAAGTGTCAGGATTCCAGAGAGCCATAACCCCACCCATCCAAGCTGCAGGGCTCCACCTGAGGCGCAGGCAGCCACCTGGTCCCCATCCTCTCTGGGTGGGATAGGCCTTTAGTGACAGCCACCTCCCCTTGGCTAGGAGCATCAGGTCCCAGGGCCTCCCAGCTTCCATGGCTCTTTCCTCTGCTAATCCCACCCCACAGCCACCTCTACTCTTCCACACTGGCTGTCTGGGAAGCTGAGCCCCTGCCCCAATACTACTTGCCCTGCGAACAGTCTAGGGAGCTCCAGGTTAGGGAAGGAAGGGGGTTTCTATATATAATATGGCAAAGAGGAAAAGGAAGGAAGAGACCAAACTTTTTTACTTCTCAATGTGGAGGTTCAATTACCCGGTTGAACCCTAGGAGTCCATCTCTGCCCAATGTGGATAAGAGGAGCAGGGAGTGGCTCTCCTGCAGATAACCTATCAACTGAATATTCCGGAGTAGCTGGCTCCCAAAGAAATTCGAAGACACTCCCACAGCAGTGCCTTGCCTAACCCCCACCAACCAGCAAGGAAAGCAGATCCCCATGAGGCATCTTGTACTCTTGAGCAGTGGGGGCAACAAGAACCAGGTGCGGTGGGAAGGGAATGGGGAGAGGATGGGAGGAGGAGGTGGCGGGATGGGGGGAACAGTAGCCGACCAGCAAGTGTGTGTTTTAGGGAAGGGGAAGCAGAGGCATCTGTTTGTAAAGGGCTCCATACAGTGCTACTGCAACCGCCCCATGCACTGGGCCGAGCAGCGCTGGGGGCTAGTTTGTGGGAGCCAAGCAGTGGAAAGGCAGCTTCTAGACCGCGAGGAGTGGAGCATGACAGAAGGTCCACTGCTCCTTCCCCCATGCTGTCCCAGAGGCTTTTGAACCAGCGTAACAGGAGATGAGAAAGGCAGGAGGAACAAGGGAGGAGGGAAAAGGGATAGGAAAAAAGTCTGAAAAGTTGAGAGAGCTACCTCTCTGGGGCGCTTTCGAGGTATGCTTTTGTTTGAAACTATCTGAAAGACAGAAAGAAAAGTCATGAGAAGAAGGCCTTGACACATTTGAGACAGGAGCGGCAGCAGGAAAGCAGAGCAAACGAGAGAGAAACTCCAGCGGCGATGGTGCTCCCAGGGTGGAGGGACAGAAGTGGGGCAAGTCAGAGAGAAGGGGGAGAGAGGGCAGACATTGAAAAACTCAGTGCTGGACTCCTGGGATCCTGGCTGACTGGGGCCAGCAGACCTGGATGCCAACTCTGCCTGCTGTGTGCCCCCAGCCAGCACCCCCAACCCAGGGGAGCGCAGAAATCTCTCCCAGAGCATGCAGGTCCCATCCATCATGTAGCAGAGGCCAGGGCCTCCCAGGGGTCTGAGGAAACCAATCAGCAGGCAGGACAAGAGTCCAGGCACTTAGAGCAAGAACACAACCCTCCCTCGTCCAGTGTCCTGTGCAGGAGCTGGAGCTAAAGCAAGCACCACCCACCCACTCGTGAGGCACTCACTGTCACAGGCATAGGGCTTGTCCCGATCCTCCAGGACCGATGCGTCCAACTTCTTACGGGCACTGCCCACACTTTTACCCTGCCAAGAACAAAATGCTGTCCTTATTAAGGTTTCTAGGCCTGGAGTTAAACTCTCCTGAAGTGGCTACTTATCTTAGAGCGGGAAAATGGTGACAAGCAACAGAATGGCAGGACTCTGCAGACTTCCCTGCCCAGGCCTCTCACCTTGGATTTCCCCTTGCCCCGACGCTTGGGAGTATCTTCTTCATAGTCCTCGTCATCAAGGTCATCCAGGAAGTCATCTGGTTCTAGGATCCGCTGAGTGGACAGGAGGATTAGGATGGCCGGAAATAATGTACTTCCAGAAGCTCTGTGATGGGACTGACCAGGTCCCTCTCCTCCAGCATCACCCCTCACCTTGGCCCTTCAGTGCCCTACAAGCTCGGCCCTTTTCCCTCCCGTGCTATGGGGCTCTCCTTCCTCTGTGCCTCTCTTCACCTCATTCCCCCAGCCTGGAAAGCCTTTCCCACCATCCCCAAGTGGCCTCATCAAATGCCATGTTTCCATAAAGCTTTCCTTGATGCCCCAAGTAGCCATGCCCTCTCCTTCTTCTGATCCGCTGCCCTGGGAACACATTATCAGGGGCTCCCTTCTGACACCTCATATCTTAGATTTAAATTAGAGCTTTGCTGCTTAATTGTGTGGCCTTGTGGGAAGTTTTTTTTAACTGCTCTGCCTCAGCCTTGCTGCATATGAAATAGGGACCTTAGTACCTACTGCCTCAGGTACAGACTGGAGAAAACGATGGGAAAGCACTTAGAGCAGCAGCTGGCATGTTTTAGGTCTCACTGTTCTTATGCATCCTGCAGTTTTCTCTTCCCTGTTAGCAGGGACTAGGTCTGCTTCCCCTCTGTAACCCAGGCACCAGAAAAGTTTTTTGACAGTGGCAGATGAATGAGAGAGAGTCTATACCTACACGGAAAGGAGTGGGAAAGACTAGATGGTAACGGTGAAGCCAGTCAGTGCCAGCACTAACTTGAGAGTAAAGAACAAGCCAGTCAGTGCCTGGCACTGATGAGAGAATGAAGCAGGAACAACTCAGAGGCCTGCCTCTTGGCCTCCAGCTTCTGCTTCCAGGAGTGGCCTCTGATGAAGAGGAGGCTGGTTTCCATCAAGACTCCCTTAACAAGTGTGAATGTTGTACCTTCCGTGCTCGACTGTTGGTCACAGGAAACTCGCCCAGGCTGTCATCATCAACTCGGGGATCTGGGGCGCCTCGCTTCTCCAGGGGGTCGGTGCGCAATAGAGCCTCTAAACTACTGCCATCCTGAGAGATCAGCCCCTCCTTCTTCAGGGTCTGCTCTGTGTCTGCAGGCAAGGTCAGGATGAGGTGAGGCTCAAAAGGGCTGAAAGGAGACCACTCTGTCCACAGTACGAGACCAGCCACAGGCCAGACACTGTCTTCTGGTTTCTGGCTGTCCAGGAAGCAAGACACCCTAGTTCACCTGGCACTGTAACTTATCTGACTTAATCTGTGTACCTGTCCCCTCTATTAGACTGAGTTCTTTAAAGGGAGGAGTCACGGTTTATTTTAGTATCTTCAGAATCTAGCACTGAGCTGGTACATAACAGGTGATGAGCAGCCTCTTACCATGCAGCAGCCCATGCCGCTGCGCAGGAAGGAGTGTGCTTTACCTGGCTTAATAGACGGGAAGGAAAGCCTCGGATCCTCAGGAGGGTGTGCTCGCCGCTTTTTCCGCCAGCGCCGGGCTGGGTAGGAGTATAGCTGCCCAGAGGCCAATCCTATGGAAGGAAGAAGAGAGAGAGGTCAAGCGCTAACCCAGTCCTAGAAAGTATTATCAAACATTTCCTAGATGAGCAGGCCTGCTTGAGTTCTAGAGTGGAGGAGGAATATGAACAGTGAGGATCTGAGGGAAAGGGGAGGGATAGTTTATGGAAAACAAAATAGGTGTAATCTCGGGGACTTTGGCTGACACATAGCTCTCCAGATGCCCAATATTAGCCTCAGCAGGGCAGCCTTGCAGAAAACAAAGATGCTGGTATGAACTTGCCTGCTTCACCCTTCTTGGGCTTCTCATCATAGGAAGACCATACTCATGCAGGGGGGAGCAGCAGTAAGAAAGACTCCTCAACTGGCTCGTCACCTTACACGACGGTGCTTCTGCTCCTACTTTCTGCTTGTGCTCCTGAGTCTAGACCCTCACCTGGACCCCGGTGTCGCTTTTCCATCCAGATGTAACAGTTGCTCTGGGCTACTCCTGTCTGCGAGTCCAAGAAAGGCAGGCGTACGCTGCGCTCAGCACAAAGGCGGGCATTGTAATTATGGCACTGCTCCATGGCATCTTTGTAGTACTGCTCCCCGAGGCTGCGGGAGACAAAAATCGGGTGTGTGTGTGTACTGAGAAGGGAGCAAGGTGCTGAGTACCTCTCCCCACTGCCATCTGCTTCTCTAGGAGACTCAAGGGACAGGAAGACCGTCGCTTTGGTTCTACTTGACTCCATTTCTGCCTCATGGGATACTAAGCCCCTTCACGAAGCCATTATGAGGAAAGGCACTTTAAATTACCATCAGGAGCACATGATTTCATCATGTGCCTAATCAGACTTAAGTCTCACCCACAAAGAGGGGAAGAAACTAATGTTCATTCTGTGTCTCTCATGAGTCCAGCCCTGTGCTAATGAAGATGTTATTTCTCTTAACCTGCAAGGCTCTGAGAGGTAGAAGCTAGCTCCTTTTTACAAATAAGGAAGCGAGTTCAACAAGGTCTGGTGGACTTACTAAAACATACTTAGCAAACTATGGTATAGAGCTCTATGATGAAATTCTAGTTAGCCATAAAAAAAGAACAAAGTTTTTCATGTACTGATATTAAACCATCTCCATGACAACCAGGGAAAAAAATAGCAAGGTATAGTGCTAAAAAGTGTGATAAGATGCTACCACTGCATCTTACTACACTGATGGACAGTGACTGCAATGGGGTACGGGATGGGGGCACTCAATAATAAGGGTGAATGTCGTAACCACATTGTTTTTCTTGTGAAACCTTCAAAAGAGTGTATATCAATGATACCTTAATAATAATAATAATAATAATAATAATAAAAGATGCTACTATTTGTAACCAGGCCAATTCCTGCTTGCCCACCTCTGATACCTCAACTTACATTTCTGCTCCTCCGACCTCTGGGAAACAGGGGTGGGGGGCTGCGAGTCCTCCTTGTCCTCGCCCTCCTCCTCAGCCAAGTGGGAGTGGGCATAGTGGTAACTGAGGCCTGGTCGGTTCTTGTAACGTTTTCCACAAACTTAGTGGGGAGAAGATCGCAGAGGAAAGTGTCAGGATTCCAGAGAGCCATAACCCCACCCATCCAAGCTGCAGGGCTCCACCTGAGGCGCAGGCAGCCACCTGGTCCCCATCCTCTCTGGGTGGGATAGGCCTTTAGTGACAGCCACCTCCCCTTGGCTAGGAGCATCAGGTCCCAGGGCCTCCCAGCTTCCATGGCTCTTTCCTCTGCTAATCCCACCCCACAGCCACCTCTACTCTTCCACACTGGCTGTCTGGGAAGCTGAGCCCCTGCCCCAATACTACTTGCCCTGCGAACAGTCTAGGGAGCTCCAGGTTAGGGAAGGAAGGGGGTTTCTATATATAATATGGCAAAGAGGAAAAGGAAGGAAGAGACCAAACTTTTTTACTTCTCAATGTGGAGGTTCAATTACCCGGTTGAACCCTAGGAGTCCATCTCTGCCCAATGTGGATAAGAGGAGCAGGGAGTGGCTCTCCTGCAGATAACCTATCAACTGAATATTCCGGAGTAGCTGGCTCCCAAAGAAATTCGAAGACACTCCCACAGCAGTGCCTTGCCTAACCCCCACCAACCAGCAAGGAAAGCAGATCCCCATGAGGCATCTTGTACTCTTGAGCAGTGGGGGCAACAAGAACCAGGTGCGGTGGGAAGGGAATGGGGAGAGGATGGGAGGAGGAGGTGGCGGGATGGGGGGAACAGTAGCCGACCAGCAAGTGTGTGTTTTAGGGAAGGGGAAGCAGAGGCATCTGTTTGTAAAGGGCTCCATACAGTGCTACTGCAACCGCCCCATGCACTGGGCCGAGCAGCGCTGGGGGCTAGTTTGTGGGAGCCAAGCAGTGGAAAGGCAGCTTCTAGACCGCGAGGAGTGGAGCATGACAGAAGGTCCACTGCTCCTTCCCCCATGCTGTCCCAGAGGCTTTTGAACCAGCGTAACAGGAGATGAGAAAGGCAGGAGGAACAAGGGAGGAGGGAAAAGGGATAGGAAAAAAGTCTGAAAAGTTGAGAGAGCTACCTCTCTGGGGCGCTTTCGAGGTATGCTTTTGTTTGAAACTATCTGAAAGACAGAAAGAAAAGTCATGAGAAGAAGGCCTTGACACATTTGAGACAGGAGCGGCAGCAGGAAAGCAGAGCAAACGAGAGAGAAACTCCAGCGGCGATGGTGCTCCCAGGGTGGAGGGACAGAAGTGGGGCAAGTCAGAGAGAAGGGGGAGAGAGGGCAGACATTGAAAAACTCAGTGCTGGACTCCTGGGATCCTGGCTGACTGGGGCCAGCAGACCTGGATGCCAACTCTGCCTGCTGTGTGCCCCCAGCCAGCACCCCCAACCCAGGGGAGCGCAGAAATCTCTCCCAGAGCATGCAGGTCCCATCCATCATGTAGCAGAGGCCAGGGCCTCCCAGGGGTCTGAGGAAACCAATCAGCAGGCAGGACAAGAGTCCAGGCACTTAGAGCAAGAACACAACCCTCCCTCGTCCAGTGTCCTGTGCAGGAGCTGGAGCTAAAGCAAGCACCACCCACCCACTCGTGAGGCACTCACTGTCACAGGCATAGGGCTTGTCCCGATCCTCCAGGACCGATGCGTCCAACTTCTTACGGGCACTGCCCACACTTTTACCCTGCCAAGAACAAAATGCTGTCCTTATTAAGGTTTCTAGGCCTGGAGTTAAACTCTCCTGAAGTGGCTACTTATCTTAGAGCGGGAAAATGGTGACAAGCAACAGAATGGCAGGACTCTGCAGACTTCCCTGCCCAGGCCTCTCACCTTGGATTTCCCCTTGCCCCGACGCTTGGGAGTATCTTCTTCATAGTCCTCGTCATCAAGGTCATCCAGGAAGTCATCTGGTTCTAGGATCCGCTGAGTGGACAGGAGGATTAGGATGGCCGGAAATAATGTACTTCCAGAAGCTCTGTGATGGGACTGACCAGGTCCCTCTCCTCCAGCATCACCCCTCACCTTGGCCCTTCAGTGCCCTACAAGCTCGGCCCTTTTCCCTCCCGTGCTATGGGGCTCTCCTTCCTCTGTGCCTCTCTTCACCTCATTCCCCCAGCCTGGAAAGCCTTTCCCACCATCCCCAAGTGGCCTCATCAAATGCCATGTTTCCATAAAGCTTTCCTTGATGCCCCAAGTAGCCATGCCCTCTCCTTCTTCTGATCCGCTGCCCTGGGAACACATTATCAGGGGCTCCCTTCTGACACCTCATATCTTAGATTTAAATTAGAGCTTTGCTGCTTAATTGTGTGGCCTTGTGGGAAGTTTTTTTTAACTGCTCTGCCTCAGCCTTGCTGCATATGAAATAGGGACCTTAGTACCTACTGCCTCAGGTACAGACTGGAGAAAACGATGGGAAAGCACTTAGAGCAGCAGCTGGCATGTTTTAGGTCTCACTGTTCTTATGCATCCTGCAGTTTTCTCTTCCCTGTTAGCAGGGACTAGGTCTGCTTCCCCTCTGTAACCCAGGCACCAGAAAAGTTTTTTGACAGTGGCAGATGAATGAGAGAGAGTCTATACCTACACGGAAAGGAGTGGGAAAGACTAGATGGTAACGGTGAAGCCAGTCAGTGCCAGCACTAACTTGAGAGTAAAGAACAAGCCAGTCAGTGCCTGGCACTGATGAGAGAATGAAGCAGGAACAACTCAGAGGCCTGCCTCTTGGCCTCCAGCTTCTGCTTCCAGGAGTGGCCTCTGATGAAGAGGAGGCTGGTTTCCATCAAGACTCCCTTAACAAGTGTGAATGTTGTACCTTCCGTGCTCGACTGTTGGTCACAGGAAACTCGCCCAGGCTGTCATCATCAACTCGGGGATCTGGGGCGCCTCGCTTCTCCAGGGGGTCGGTGCGCAATAGAGCCTCTAAACTACTGCCATCCTGAGAGATCAGCCCCTCCTTCTTCAGGGTCTGCTCTGTGTCTGCAGGCAAGGTCAGGATGAGGTGAGGCTCAAAAGGGCTGAAAGGAGACCACTCTGTCCACAGTACGAGACCAGCCACAGGCCAGACACTGTCTTCTGGTTTCTGGCTGTCCAGGAAGCAAGACACCCTAGTTCACCTGGCACTGTAACTTATCTGACTTAATCTGTGTACCTGTCCCCTCTATTAGACTGAGTTCTTTAAAGGGAGGAGTCACGGTTTATTTTAGTATCTTCAGAATCTAGCACTGAGCTGGTACATAACAGGTGATGAGCAGCCTCTTACCATGCAGCAGCCCATGCCGCTGCGCAGGAAGGAGTGTGCTTTACCTGGCTTAATAGACGGGAAGGAAAGCCTCGGATCCTCAGGAGGGTGTGCTCGCCGCTTTTTCCGCCAGCGCCGGGCTGGGTAGGAGTATAGCTGCCCAGAGGCCAATCCTATGGAAGGAAGAAGAGAGAGAGGTCAAGCGCTAACCCAGTCCTAGAAAGTATTATCAAACATTTCCTAGATGAGCAGGCCTGCTTGAGTTCTAGAGTGGAGGAGGAATATGAACAGTGAGGATCTGAGGGAAAGGGGAGGGATAGTTTATGGAAAACAAAATAGGTGTAATCTCGGGGACTTTGGCTGACACATAGCTCTCCAGATGCCCAATATTAGCCTCAGCAGGGCAGCCTTGCAGAAAACAAAGATGCTGGTATGAACTTGCCTGCTTCACCCTTCTTGGGCTTCTCATCATAGGAAGACCATACTCATGCAGGGGGGAGCAGCAGTAAGAAAGACTCCTCAACTGGCTCGTCACCTTACACGACGGTGCTTCTGCTCCTACTTTCTGCTTGTGCTCCTGAGTCTAGACCCTCACCTGGACCCCGGTGTCGCTTTTCCATCCAGATGTAACAGTTGCTCTGGGCTACTCCTGTCTGCGAGTCCAAGAAAGGCAGGCGTACGCTGCGCTCAGCACAAAGGCGGGCATTGTAATTATGGCACTGCTCCATGGCATCTTTGTAGTACTGCTCCCCGAGGCTGCGGGAGACAAAAATCGGGTGTGTGTGTGTACTGAGAAGGGAGCAAGGTGCTGAGTACCTCTCCCCACTGCCATCTGCTTCTCTAGGAGACTCAAGGGACAGGAAGACCGTCGCTTTGGTTCTACTTGACTCCATTTCTGCCTCATGGGATACTAAGCCCCTTCACGAAGCCATTATGAGGAAAGGCACTTTAAATTACCATCAGGAGCACATGATTTCATCATGTGCCTAATCAGACTTAAGTCTCACCCACAAAGAGGGGAAGAAACTAATGTTCATTCTGTGTCTCTCATGAGTCCAGCCCTGTGCTAATGAAGATGTTATTTCTCTTAACCTGCAAGGCTCTGAGAGGTAGAAGCTAGCTCCTTTTTACAAATAAGGAAGCGAGTTCAACAAGGTCTGGTGGACTTACTAAAACATACTTAGCAAACTATGGTATAGAGCTCTATGATGAAATTCTAGTTAGCCATAAAAAAAGAACAAAGTTTTTCATGTACTGATATTAAACCATCTCCATGACAACCAGGGAAAAAAATAGCAAGGTATAGTGCTAAAAAGTGTGATAAGATGCTACCACTGCATCTTACTACACTGATGGACAGTGACTGCAATGGGGTACGGGATGGGGGCACTCAATAATAAGGGTGAATGTCGTAACCACATTGTTTTTCTTGTGAAACCTTCAAAAGAGTGTATATCAATGATACCTTAATAATAATAATAATAATAATAATAATAAAAGATGCTACTACTGATGTAACAAGGAGGTAGAAAAGAAATTGTAGGCCTCCAAGGAGAAAAACCAGTCGACTAGGAGACTTCCCCTATATGCCATTTTATATTTTTTGAAGTTTGAACTAGGTATTTAGCCAACTAGTTAATTCCATATGCCAATTTTGTAGTCAGTGGGAAACATCTGAGAATACCTTCTTTCAAGCCTACTTTTTACTGAGTACCATTATACTGATATAAAACCTGTCTGCCCATCTAAGGCCCTTCCTCCACTTTCATATTACCAAAGTATATAGGAAAAAACCTTGGGCTCAAAAGACTCAGTGTGAAATCTATATCAAGGCTAAACCTTTAAAAGTGCTGTAAAAAGCTGGAAAACTGCACTGTGCTAGGAGTTATCTGGTTCTTAAAAGCATGTAATAGAACCAATCTTGTTCTCATCCTTCACAATTTAACACTTTATTATTGGAGTTTAACTATAACAACTTACATTTATACATGGGAACCATTTTACAATAAGCTGAGGGCAGAGGTCGTTTCTTTCCCACAGTATCCCCAGTACTGGTGAAGGTTTCTGGGACATCTTGGCAGTAAAAAGACCTGCCTTGGCTGCAAGTCACCACATAAACATAGACATTTAGTCAACCCACGCAGACCTCAGTTTCCTCTGCTACAGATGGGGAATAGGACTAGATAAGCTCTAACACAGTATACGGGAGGGAGACCCTTGGCATGAGAAGCTGGAGTTAGTCTCTGTTGCTTATGTCCACAACCTGAGCTATATTAACACACCCGGCTCTGGAATCTGACGGGGGCTTTTCACTGAGCAGCCGCAATAGACCATGCAGGCATAGACTGTATGTTCCCAGCCACTAAAAAAGACACACACCACACACAAGGTAGTGACACCACAAGACAGCCTTGACTCAATATGCTGTAATGACTGTAATTTGAGGTAGGCAGGAATCTTGTGTTGGAGAGTGGAAAGAAGGGTATAGGTTCACATTTGCTTGCCTTTAGGAGGCAGCCATGTCCTCTCTACACAGAGGAAAATTGGATAAACAAGGCTGAGTGCAGCAGCTCCTTTGTTTCTGCTGATGGGAATTGATCCTGACACTGGAAGTCAAATGGAAGAAAGGGCCAGACGGGCTAAGGCCTGCAAAGTCAGAGCTAGGAGGCTAGAAATGGTTCTGGGGGAGTGGACAGAAGATGTTCTCAAAGCTCGTCAGCTTAGTGGGATTTCAGGAGGTGCAAACTGCCGTGTGAGAGAGATGGAAATGAAACAAGTTGGGGGAAGAGAGGACCTGATAAGGAGAACACAGGAGAGAATGAGGAAAGCACTTAAGAACTTAAGGTTCCTATCACAAGACATTCTCACAAGAAAGCCAACATTCTCCAGATCTTCTCACCTAACTCAGGTTTCAAAAGCAGCCAGCAGCTACCGCTATTTTATAGTATTATTTAACCCTACTAAGACCCCTTAAAGACTGTTTCAATTCTGACACATTTGGGAGGAACAGAGAATTTACAAACCGGAAAATTCTTCTCCCAGAACAAGACGCAGTCAGAAAAGATGAACTATTGGCCCTGACCTGATGCTCAACCTCAGCTATCAGACCAATCACACCATGATCAAGAGAAGCGCTAGAAAAGCATCTCTCCTGGATGAGAGTGGTACAGGAAGAATGGCAGCGCCCTCCCCTCCCCCCGTTTAAATTAAGGTATCATTGATACACAATCTTATGAAGGTTTCACATGAGCAACATGTGGTTACACCGTTCACCCACGTTATCAAGTCCCCCACCCCAACCCCATTGCAGTCACTGCCCATAAGCGTAGTAAGATGCTATAGAGTCACTACTTGGTGTCTCTGTGCTATACTGAATGGCAGCCCTTCTTAAAGGGGAAGTTCTGCAGGAAAATGTATTCATTATGGTCCACAGCCCTTTACAGGCAGAACTGAGGAGGAGAAAAGTTGTTTCTCTCATTACTGGTACTCAGGAACCAGGCTGGTGACCCTCAAAATCTCTATAGTTCTTTAAAGATAAATAAGTCATAAGCAATTTAAATGGGCAACTCCTCCCTTCTAACACTACATGAAAGGGTTGGCAACACTATTTCCCTGAAGAAAGTCTTCCAATGTTAAGATTTTCATCACACACATCTCTCAAAATCTAGGCAAGTCTGACATTCCCCGAGTACAGTTAAGATATCCAAGGTAGAAGCTTTGATTCTTTTTTGGGAAGCACAAAACCTGCTTATAACCTCCCCTAACAATGGAGTGGGGGGAGTCAACAAAGAGAAAGGCAGAGAAACAAAGAAAGAACATCTGAGTCAGTAAGGACAACTATGTAAATGGTAGATCAACAGCGTCATTTCTAAATTGAGGGAAATGTCAGCCTGGAAAAAGAGTGGGCAGATCGGAAAGATAATAATGTTGGGAGGAGGGGTGGCTGGATGGAGCTGAAAGCAAGTCAGAAAAAAAAAACCCCACAAAAGGAGAAGGCACTTAGCTTAATGGAAGTGGGAAAGCATTCTCCAAGAAAAGGCTCCAGGCAGGAGGGGAAAAGCAACTGTACCCTTGAAAAAAGGTTCTTGGGAAGAGTGGGGCTCAGCCCACGACAAACACACATGAGAAGCTGTGAATCCCTTAGAATAGTTCCCAAACCTTTACCTTGTCATTCAGTCAAAATCCAAAAGCCCGGGCTATACAACTAAAAACCTCTCAATTTTCCTACCCTTGCATCAAGCCCAATTTTACCCACTTAAAGGAGTGGGTAGCCCACGGGGCCTGAACCCACTTCGATCTTCTGCAGGGAGGAGGCTGGATTTCAATCAAATTCCAAAGCATCTTTAACTCATAGCTATCAAGCCAGTCTCCATTTTCCAAACAAACCATCAACTTTAACTTTGCTCGAAATCTGCCCAGTAAAGGGTACTGCATAGCGCGGAGATTGCCGACCTAGATGTCCCTGTAAGCTGCAAAGGCGTCCTGGACCGTTTCTGTCCAGTTCCCGTTTTTTGATGGCTCGCACGGACGGACGCAAAGGCCCTCCCCACTCAAGTCCTTTGCTTCTCAACAAATACTTCCCAAGAATATTTTTGGTCTTGGGTATTGATACTCAACCCGTCGTCGCCACCGCCAAAGGGATGTTTAGAACAAAACGGCCCCGCAGTGCTAAACCGCGCAAGGGCTGCTGCGCCTGTTGCACCAGGGCTGGCTGCGGGCAGCCGACAGGGAGGGGTCGGCGGCCGGGCTTCGCGGGGACGCAGGTCGGTCCCGGAGCCGCCCTCGGCCCCGCTCCTCCGGCCCCAGGCTTCTCGGGCGCCGACCGGGGCTGGTCTCGGAACGCCACAGGGCGCCATACTCTGGACACCGTAAGCCTGAAGGCGCGCTCAGGGCGCCCAGCTCCCGGAGGAGGCTGCCCGTAAGGGGCTCCCGTGTGCCCCCCTCAGGGCCTCCACAAGTTTCCGAAGAAGCGCAACGTCTTCTCGGGAGTCTCCCGTTGCCCTCCCCAGTAGGAGTCGCAACATGGCCTTCTCGGGCACTTCCCTCCCTCCGCCTGGTCCCTTCCCGCACCGCCTCCTACTCGCGGGCCCCTTACAAGACCTCCCGGCCTAGGAGTGAAAGAAATGACCACTCACAGCTTCACAACATTTTCCACCACAGCCGCCATCTTCCCTGCTTCTCTCAGGCCGGGAAGCCCAGAGTCCGCAGCGCGCAGGCGCTCGGACCGCTAGGGAACCAGTTTCCTCGTCCTTCTGCGCAGGCGCTGCCCGGGCGCGCGCGCCCGAGAACGAGCGTCGGACAGCAAGTTGCAGGCTGTTTGCCCCGGGCAGGGAGCAGAGGGAGCCCCACGCGCAGGCGCGACAGAGACAGGCGCGCGCCCCGAGGCTCCGGATTGAGCCCCGCCTCTTCTACTTGGCGCCCAGGAGGTAAAGACGAGCTGGCTAGGCCAGAAATAAGAAGGCGAGAGGTAGGGAAAGCTGGCAGGCCCAGAGGTGGACTAGATGGAGTGAGACATCCTGCTACCTCTCTGACCTTTAACCTCCTGGTTAATCCTTTGCCCGCACTCACAGTCCACTTGTGCCCCCAATTATGTGCCCTTTTTAGGGAGAGGATAATTATGCCCCAGAACTGGGCAGTTCTTTGGCCTGCATATTGGGGTCTAGCAAAAGTTATCTTACCTTCCTGCTACCAAACCCAGCCAGCAAATTCACAGGTACCCACTTTTTCCCCTCTTGCTTCCTAATCCTCTCGAAGCTTCTTCCCTCCGTGTAGGTTCTGAAGAACTTCCTTCGACCATGTATCCCTGTCTCTTCTCTATCACTCACTTCTCCTTCCCTACTGAATCATGCAAATTTGTGTACAAACATAGTTTAATATCCTCTAACAAAATCAGAGCCTTCCCTTCCATGATCACCCCATTTCTTTTCACCCTTTCATAGCATATTTTCTGTGTATACTCTATGTCTTTTGACTTCATTTTCAAGCCTCTTTCTGCCCAGTTTATGGGGATTTTGTTCCCACCAGTTCATTGAAACAGCTGCTAACAAAAACACCACGAATTGCATTTCAGCAGATTTAGGGGATCTGTTCTCTCCTCATCAGCCTGTCAGTGCCTGTGACACCACAGATCATTCCCTTTTTTGAACTTTTCCCCAGGTCTCTGACACACACACCCTCCTGGCTGTGCTCCTGTCACATGGGCTGCTCCTGCAGCCTCTTTGGCTGGCTCTCTGTCTTCTGTTCTACCTGTAACTGTCCGAGTCTTCTGGGCTTGGTCTTTCGTCCTTGTCATATACCTTACTTCATCAGTTCCAGGTGTGCATATTCCCCACCCTCTGCTTTCATTTGAGTACTTCAGACTCATATGACACATCTTACTACAACTGTGCCTTAAAAGTGTGTTTGGTAGGTGAGAGTACCCTGCACGACCCTTGCAGAATAGGTGTCAGTAGCTTAGAATTAAAACCCAGATACAGTACAGGTGCACTTTTACTGCTGGGAACCAAGTGAGGGTTCATTTAACCCTCAGAGGGTATCAGACATAACTCCAAAGCAGGATTCAAAAGTATGTGTTATGGCCTGAATGTTTGTTCCCCCCACAGTTCATATGCTGAAGCCCTAACCCCCAGTGTAATGGTATTTGGAGGTGGGGCCTTTGGGAGGTCAGTAGGTTTAGATGAGGTCATAAAAGTGAGACCCTCAGGATTAGTGACCTTATAATGAAGAGGAAGACATATCGCTCTTCTCTTTGCATGTGAGAACACAGCAAAAAGGCAGATGTCTGCAAGCCAGGACGCAAGCCCTCACCAGGAACCAAATCTGCTGGCACCTTGATCTTGGACATCCCAGCTTCCATAATTGAGAAATAAATGTCTGTCACTGAAGCCACCCAGTTGATGGCATTTCATTATAGCAGCATGAGCTAAGATAGTATGTTGGCATGAAAGCTGAACATGCACATACCCTACGATCCAACAATTCCATTTGTGGATATAAACACCAAAAAGCATGTACAAGAATGTTCACAACAGCATTAATTAAAATAGCTCCAAACTGGACACAACCCAAATGCCCACAACAGTAGCATGAATTAAACAACAATTAAAAGAAAAATGTATTGCTGTATAACAATGTGAATGAATCTCAGAAACTTAATATTGAATAAAAGAAGCCAGTTTCAAGCAGGACATGTGTGATTCCATTTATGTAAAGTTGCACAAACAGATACACTAATCTATGGAGAGAGAAGTCAGAAGACTGGTTGTTTTCTGAGGCTATTACAAGAAGAGGCACAAAGTGGCTGCTGAAGTACTAGTAATGTTCCTTTTTGTCTGGGTAGTGGGTACATAGGTTCATTTACTTTATAAAAATTCACTGAATCGCCAAGATTTGTGCACCTGTCTGCATGGTTATTTCAACTAAAATTTCAAAAAAAAATATTAGTAATAATGTATAGTCTGGCTCTACATAATTGCACAGGTAGTTTGTGAGCCAATGATCAATGGCTTTCAGTTTTTTTGGGTTCTTTTTAGAAATGCTACATAACTGAACAACAGATACTCTATATGCTCTGAGCGAGTGACCAGTATCTCTTGTGTTTCTCTTACAGACAGGAACCAAGCATTGGGGGTGCAGTGTTTTGCGGTCTCGACCAGTGACTCTTTTTCAAAACGTTTCCTAGTCCTACAACTGTGGTCTCTGACTGACTTAGAGCCTTTAAGACCCAAGACAGAAATGCTTCCACTAGGCACACAATAATGGCTTCTCTAAATTAGGAGCCAAGACTGCCAATGGGCCATTTTGCATTCCACATGCCACTGGGCAAGAAAGTAAAAAGTGGGCACCACTATTGGCTGGGGTGACTGATTCTAATTGTCAAGGGGAAAGAGGATTGCTATTACCTAGTGGGGGCTGGGAGAAATATAAATGGAACCCAGGAGATCTTAATATTACATTCAGGTAGTTAATGGCAGGCAGGTAGGCTCTCAGAATTTAATTCCAACCCCCACCCCCACTGAAGATAAACTAAGGCCCAGAAGTGAAAAACATCTTAAAAGCATTGAAAAGCTAATGATAAAGTGAAGAATTATTGGGTCAACATTTAAGGGGCTAAACCCCAAGAAGTAAGACAAGAATTCAAAGCAACTTTTGTCCTGAAAATACTTACTGATATAGAAGATAAAACTCTGAAATTGAGCTATTTTTGGCAGCTTTTGGCGGTGGTGAGGGTGTAAAAAATAAAAACCCAGAGCCTGCCCAAAGTAGGCAGTCATATCTCACCATGGACACTACACACTTTAAGATGGGACCCCAACATCTAATAACTTGTAGCCCAGAATCATATTACCTGGGTGGCCCAGGGAAGCTCAGGCCTTGAACTTAGATTAAAGTGGACCAATCCATACAATGCCCCAAGTCACCTGGCAGAAGCAAGCATATTTGATAACAAGCAATAGCCTTTCTGAAAGAATGTACTATCATTCTAGGCCTCCAAGTAGCTCTAAAAATATTTTTTTCAGATAAAATATCCAGCCTGTAGTCAAAGATAATCAAGCACACAAAGAAACAAGAAACCTTGTACAAGAACCCATATAAAATAATGAATTGATCCACAAAGAATAAAGAAGATACTGGAATTATCTGATACCAACCATAAAATAACTTCTTACTATGTTTAAATAAGTTGAAGACAAGGCTTATAAATATCTTTAGGGAACATGTACTTATTAAGAAGTGCCACAGAATTTTTAAAGAACCACACAGAACTTCTCAACTGAAAAATATAATAACCAAAATTAAAAACCAGTGAATCAGTTAAAAAAAACAACAGACTAGACATGGCTGAAAAGAGAATGAATAAACTAGAAGATAGAAAGAATTTGTCCTTAATACAGCATGGAAAAACAAAAGAACAGAAAATACAGAATTAGAGTAGAAACATAGAGGATATATATAGAGATGGAACATACTATTTAATTGGAGTCTGAGAGGATAAGGGTAAGACAACAGAAGGGGGCAGAGAAAGAGAGAGGGAAAGTGATTGATACTTTCCAAAAATGAAAAAATACACAAATCCACAGATTGAAGAAGCCCAAATAAAACCAGCAGGCTAAAGAAAGACTTAATGGAAATAAATGCTAGAGTATTTGGGTTAAGTGTCATTATGTCTGCAACCTCCTTTTCAAAAGTCAGGAGAAACATTTTTATGTGCAAAGAGAGAAAGCAAATGTGACAAAATGGTAACAACTGGCAAATCGAGATGAAAGTATACAGATGTACATTATATTACTCTTCTAGTATTTCTGTAGGTTTGAAATGTTTAAAAATAAAAGGTCAATTGGGAAAAAAGTCAGTTCTATACAGGCAGGGAGTTCTTCCAAGGGCTCAGATTCTTTAACAATGAAGGTCTAGAACATGTCATCTGGTCAAGAGCCCTAAACAGCCAGGAAGTGGGCAGAAGGCGAAGGGGGCATGAACTGGGGGTGAAGGAGGGAAGTCGTTCACACCAGCTATGGCTTTGTTGTAGAAAAATTCTTCAGCTTCTATACATATTCCTTTTGTCAAGTATATTTTATGTATATTTTAGTTCTCCCATTCTTCTCTTTTTCTGTCCAGTCTTGAATATAGGGTATATTGGTGGTAATCAACTTCACAACAATATTCATTGTTTGCAACACACTGAGATGGGCTGTACGGGAATTGCAGGAGGAATGGGCATCATTTAAAAATCCTGAACTTGGAAGTGGAGGTAGTAATAGACAAGATTTTGAGTGTATTTTTGATAGAAAGAGGGACATAAAGGTTATACTAGGGAGGTTATATAAATACATGTATATATATTATATTTTTTGAAGTATATACCCGAACAGGGACATGCATGGTTGGAGGATTGTGGGAGTCTAAAACAGTGGACTGTAGGGACATTTGTCATTTTTCTGGCTACTCATAAACTTCTCATTTTGGGGAATTCCTTTTTGTGGGTAGTATTTGCAGGGCGTAGTGCCTGAACAACAATATACAAGTTGAAAAAGCGAAGTCCTTCATCTCTGCACCCTCTGGATACCTCTGTGTAAGAGGTATCCTGAGTTTAGTTAATCTGATGCTTCAGGTCCCCTGCCTCATTCCCTTTCTCCACCAGGGTTTCCCAGGGCCCTTGGGCTGGTGCCTGATGCAGCGGGGGAGGGGGGAGCAGCTCCAGGGGACCCAGGACAAGCATGTCCCCTCTCCATGGCTCTTCTGGCCTTAGCTCAGGTCCAGGGTGAAGTGCTGCCTTCCAGCAAGGTGAAGCTCTAAGGAAAGTGTCCTTTTCTCTTGTCTTTCTCTCCCAAGGCAGAAGGGGACAAGCCACCCACTCCCAAAGAGGGAGCCTGCAAGCAAGAAGGTGCTGGCCCACCACTCCCCACCCTTTGCATTCACACCTTACCATGGCCCGAAGCTGAACTCCTGTTGGGGGAGAGGGGTGCAATATAGTACAGGCTTTGTAGCCTCACAGATCTAGGTTCAGATTCCACTACAGATAGTAAAACCCCTAATCTGTAAATGATGGCAGCACTGTCATATTAAAAACAAAAAGTTTGGTGGGAATGTAACATGCAGCTGTGATGGAAAACAGTATGGTGGTTCCTTGAGATATAAACATAGAATGACCATATGAGCTAGCAATTCCACTTCTGTGTATATACCCCAAAGAATTGAAAGCAGGGACTCAAACAGATATTTGTGCACCCATGTTCACAGCAGCATTATTCACAATAACCAAATGGTGGAAGAAACCCAGGTGTCCATCAGTGGATGAATGGGTAAACACAGTGTGGTATATACATGCAACGGAGTATTATTCAGCTCTTAAAAAGGACATTTCATCACATGCTACAGTATGGATGAAACTTGAGGGTATTTTGCCAAGTGAAGCAAGCCGGTCACGAAGACAGATACTGTGTGATACTGTCTGTCATCAGGTCCCTAGTGTAGACAAATCAGAGACATAAAGTAGAACGGTGGTTTCCAGGGGCTGGGTGGTGGGGGAGTTAGTGTTTAATGGGTGTGGAGTTTCACTTGGGGAAGAGGAGAGCAGCGCAGCAAATGGATGGTGGTGGTTATAGGTGCACAGTAATGTGAATGTACTAAAGCCATTGAACCATGTACTTAAAAATAGTTAAAATGGTAAATTTCATGTTGTATATTTTACAATCTTTAAAAAAGCATCTCAAAAAAAAAAGTGCTGCGTGGCCAAGAGGAACATCTCCTCATCAAATTCAGCCTCAGCTGTGCAATGTGTCACGGGCACTAGAGGCAGGAGAGGCTGGGGGTGGGTCGGGGGCTGAGATGCTTCAGGTCAAAGCGGGGAAAAGACAGCAGAAAATGGAAAAGGGGACCACAGCGTGGGCCTGCCCCCCGCCCCGGGCCCCCACCCCTCTGCCCTCCTCCCCGCAGCGACTCCGCCTCCTTCATCTTCGGTCCATCTTCACTTGGCCTGGGTGGTGACCCTCCTGAAACCTGGATGTAGCCCCTCCTGCTTAAAATCCTCGAGCAGCTCCCCACTGCCTCAGCTTCAGCCTCACGATCACACCGTTCTAAGCCGTTTCCCCGTTTCCCAGTCCTGACTTTCCTGAACCCCAGGTTCCTTTATGTCACAATTAACAGGTAGCAATTAACAAATATTATCCCTCCTTTTCTCAACAACCCTGCAGGGTAGGTTTGTTGACTCCATTTTAGAGATGGGGAAACTGGGTCTCCCACGGGCTGGGTGGGACTCGGAGGTCCAAGCTCTTTTCAACACACAACTCCTCTGTCGTTTGCTCTGGTGCCTCAGTGCCTTTGTTTAGGCCCAGCACAAGCCATAGCCCTTAGGCTGAGGACCCGAAAGTGCCTTGACACCACCCACACCCTTGCCCCAGGCTCTGCTGGCTTTATGCATAGTGCCCACACTGTTGGAAATCACCTTACTTGCTTACACATTTACTACCCTTCTCCCCACTAGAACGTGAGCTTTGGGGAGTAGGAATCGTGTCTGTCTGGCACCCTGGCACCTGGAACATGCCAGAGTGCACTACAGGTGCTCCACAGATGCTCAATAAACAGCCACAGTGAGGTGAGCTGACTGATGAGCAGTCGGGTCCCTCCAGCCCTGGTCCCAGCCCCCATCCTGGGTGCTCCCTGAGTCCTCTGAAGCTGGAGGAGCTGTCAGTCCCGTGCACCAGGCCTTGGCATTATTCTTCCCCTCTTGGGTGCCCTCTGACAGACCCCAGCCACCTGGGTGCAGCACCTGCCCTACACTGGACCTCAGCCACCTCTTGCCACACATCTGAATCAGTGCTGAAATATCCCCAGTTGGCACCTGGTTTGTTCCTGTTTCATTCTCACTATGGGTTTGGAATCAGGTCCAATCTTCTGAAGGGCAGGGCCCACCCTGCACAAAGCCCCGTGGGGCTGGGGTCTCCCCGAGGCACACAGAGACTGGCTGTCCTCAAGGGGAAACCTGGGATCAGGTCCAGCGAGCATAAGCTACCAGCAGCCGCAGGTTTTATTGTGACCAGAATCTCCTGGTCATGTGGGAGGGGACGGGGCAGAGGGACATTCAGTCTGATGCCATATTCCCAGGCCGGGACTCAAGGCCAAAGTTCCGGTCAGCTGTGTCCTGCCTCTTCCCCCACCCCACTGACGGGGAAGGGAGGAGGGAAGGGGGATCCATTTCAGCAGAGCCCTCAGCCAGGGGATCTGAGGGAGGGGGAAGCGTTTGGCAGCAGGGGTCCAGGTGGCCCCCAGATGCTCAGGGCACTTTGGGCACATGTCCTTGGTGGGTTTTAGGGGAAAGCAATAGGCGCACTCTGCCCGTGGGGAGAGGGTGGGAGGAAGGGAAGCAAAGGCTCAAAGGGAAAAGTCACCGGCCAGCAACCACACAGGTGGGACTTTGGGATCCCGACTGCTAGTCAGGGCCGTGTCCACCCACTGCCTCCTGGTACTCATCCCAGCCTGGGCATCCAGCCTGGCCAGCCTTGGGTCCTATGCGGGTATCTGCACGTGGCCCAGGTCCTGGTCCATGATCTGGAGGACATCGTCCAGGATGGAAGGCCCCAGGTCCACATGCAGGGAGAGCAGGGAGCTGGCATGGGACAGGAAGGGCTCTTGGGCCTCCAGCTCAGGGCTCAGCCCATTGTGGGCGGAGCCAGCCTCTGGGACTCTCCAGATGTCCACACTCCCTGTGTCCCGTGGGGAAGGCTGCAGGGAAGGCAGAGGGGTCTCCAGGTGCAGACGAGGGGGCTTGGGTGGAGCCTGAGTTGTGGGCAGGGTGAGGGCCTGGGGCCCACCGATGACCGGGAGGGAGATGGCGTTCTTGAGCAGAGGGGACGGCCCGTCGGGGAGCTCCCGCCCACACAGCGTGGCGGTGCGCGTGAACTGGAAGGGGAGGTCAAAGGTGCCGTCCTCCTCAGGTCCCTCGACCACCGTCCCCGGCAGGAGGTGGAACTTGCCCTGCAGGAAGGAGATGTCACCAAACATGTCGCTGCCGCCACCACTGCCGATGTGAATGGTGTGCCGGAAGTCGCCCAGGGGAGGGCTGATCATGTCTGAGGACAGCAGGTCCCGCAGCTTCGCCTTCTTGCCCTTGCTGCTGCTGCGCTTCAGATAGATGGGCACCTTGGTGGACATGGCGACCGCACCACCTAGGCCCGGCTGCCCGGGCTGGCCACCCACTGGGACCACGGCCTCCTCTCACCACCTCAACCACAAACACCACAGAGGGTGGAGTTCAGACACCAAAACGTGCCAAAGGGCTAAGACTAGGGTGTGTGGTGTGACCAAAGTGAGTCCAAGGAATGAGAGAGGAGACGAGCGATCAGTGAAGTCACGGCAACCCTTCTGAAGATTGGGAGCAAAAAGACGGCGATCTTGCAGGCAGCTGTGCTTTCTGGTCTTGTCCTCGAGAGGGCCTCCCTGGCCTGGGGCTGACAAGCTGAAACACCAAGGGTACAAGTCAGGGACGGATGGATGAACGGCCAAGGAGCAATTCCTTTCTGGCGCCCCTGCATCAGCCCAGGGAGCCCTGCGAGAAGAAGCAGGGTTCACTCAGAGACTCACTGCACCTTAGAGCCTGGATCACCAGCGCCAAGAGGGGAAACTGAGGCCCAGGAACCTGAGTGACAGGCCCGCAGACATATAAAGTCCTGGCTCTGGTCTCTTGCCCTGGGTCCCTGGCTCTGCTCATCACCATCACCTGCGTGCTCACCCCCTATTCCGGGTCAGCTGTGCCCCAGGATACGGCAAGCGCCAAGCTGCACAGGGGTCTCACAGACATCTCAATTCCCTACTTGACTGAGGAGATCTTGTAACCCTGTCTTGCCAGCCTCCCCAGGCCTGGCACAGGCTGGATACATAGTAGGTGCTCAGCCAACAGTGATGAACGAGTGATACCTCAATCGTGTCCCACCTGGAAGTGAGGTCACCTTCTCAGAGTTAGTTTTCCTTTTCTTCTCCTCCTAGTTAGCAGTTCCTTTGAGCAGGGGTGAGTCTAACACAGCTTTGGTCCCTCCTCCCTGCCCAGCACCTCAGGGAGAGAGAGAGCAAGGAGTATAAACACTTCTGGGGGCTCTGCTCTGTGCCTGGCATTTTGCTGAGTTCTTTGCAAACACATCTCATTTAATCATCATAATTTCCCTCCTAGCATGCCCCTTTTAAAATTAGAGCTATAAAACATTTTGGAGGGCTTCCCACAAGTTATTGCAGAGGGAGAGAAACAAAATGCAAAAATGTAGTACAAAGGATCCTGTTTATTGAAAGCATTGCCCAACTGCCCTCCCATATACACATACCTACATGTACAGGTCTGCATAGGATTATATCCTATATAAGAACAAAGAATCTGGAAGGCCAGCACTGATGGGGTTGTCATATGGTCTACCTAAACTGGGGTGGGAGGCAGGGATGGGGTGTGGGGTCAGTGACATGGGAGGAAAGGTGTCCTCAATAAAAATTGTCTGTAACACTTGGTTGCACTACTATACAGTGATATCTGTGAATATGAATGGATGGTTGCTAAAATGTTGATTGTGGTTCTCAAGGTGGTAGAACTTCAGGTGACTGCTTTTCTTCTTCATACTTGAATAAGCTCAAATTCTCAATAATAATCATGTATTACTTATGTGCACATATTATTTGTGTAATTAGAAACAATAAAGCTATTTTTAATGTGGAAAAAAATAATACACTCTGGAAGGGTGTCATACTGGTTAGCAGAAAAAGGAAGTGTTGCAAGTTCCCCGCAGTTCCCACGGTGGGGGACTGGCTCCATACGTGATAACATGTGACACAGAGAGCCCAGATATGGAATCAGAGTACAAAAGGCAAATAAAGAAAATTGTCCAAGGTCACGCAGTGGGTAACCAGATGAGCCCACCCTTTTCCCCAGCTGGCAGGGGCTGAACAAGTGGGAAATGGCTCTGGGAGGGGCAGGACAGCGGCAGGGAGGCCTCTGCCAGCTCCTCGGTCCCATTCTTCCTCTAGGACATGGTCCGGAGAATGAGGGGCTGGCAGGAGGGAGCAGGAGGGAAGAAGGAAGATGCAGGAGGGGCCAAGTCCCAACTCCCCCCACGGCCAACCCAGGTCCTCACTCAGGAAACGGCCACCCCAGACCGGACACCTCGGGTCAGTCACATTGAGCTACAGAGACCGGACATCTCGCCCCTCCCGGAGCACCTGCAGCTTAACAGGAAACAAAGGAATGACTCTCCAGCGTGGAATTCCAGCTAAGCTTGGAAGGAGCTGCAGGGAGGGCAGGGGAGACAGTGGGTGCCTGAGGTCTTAGAATCCCAATGCCCATTCATTTAACAGTTACCTCTGCCCACCATGCCAGGCCTAGGGGGCACGTAGACACACATCCTGGGGTAGCTTTCCCTTCCTTTAGCACATAGAGGGTGGGGCTGACTGGTGGGATTTGCCCAGAGCCTGGGCCAGCGCCCCGCCTCCCCATTACACAGGGGCGCCAAGACAGCTTGAGTGTTTCCACAACAAACTGGGCGTCCCTGACAGCTGTCTCCCTCCAGCCAGATGTACCCACCCAATTCCAGATGTGGGGAGAACTGAGGCTAGGGAAGAAGGGTTGGGCCAGTGTCAACCACCCAGGGGAGAGCTGGGAATTGCAACCATCAAGCCCCAAGTATTCAGTCAGACTTGGCAGCCCCAAGACCCCAGGCTCCAGCCGCCCCTGTAGTTTCCATTCTAGTGCTCCGAGGCACAGCACACTGGGTGTCATCACTGGGTGTCATTACAGAGGCAGAAGCTGAGCCTGAGGTTTTTGCCAGGTCAGTCATCTAGTAAAAGCAAGAGTGGGCACTGGCACCCAGCTGCGTCCCTGTGGCTCCCATGCAGAGGGCCATGCCAACCTCCACAAACTGCTTGGGAAGCAGGAGAGAAAGAGGCTTCCAGCTTAGCTGGGGCTACCAGGTCCCTAGGCTGCCTCCATTTAAGTCCTACCTCTTGGCTGTCCCCCTCCCCCAACTTGCAAGTGTCCAGAGGTATGAGAATGAGCTCCCCGTCAGGATAAGGCTATGGAGGGCTGGAAGGCGCAGCTCGGGGCAGCAGTCCCAGTCCCACAGGCTTGTTCTGAACAGGAGCCCTGGGCCTCCTTCAGAGAAAACGACTTCCGGGAAACACAGCACCAGCCCTCTCGTGTCACATGGAATACTTGGCCACTCCCTACCAGCGGTGTTCAAAGAGAAGCGCCTCCCCGCACCCCGGCCCCCAACCTTGTCAGGAGACTGACTTTGAGTTCATTTCCACCTGGAACTCTGTCACCTTGGCAAGACACCTCTCCTCTGGGTCTCACCTTACCCATCTATAAAATGGGCTGACACCAAAGCCATTACCAGAAGGCTACTGGAGATACTGCGATACTACTGCCTTACTGCAAGTGAGAGCACGGATGTACGACAGGGTTAGCGCGTCACTGAGAGCCCCGTCATTCATTCAACAGCTGTAAGGCCTTCCTCAAGCATTTTTATTCTCTGGGGTCAGTGCTCCAAACAAGACCAAAACGAAGTGGCCCTGGCCACAGGTGTCGGCCTGCTTTTGCCCGACCTGACCTAGCCTGCGTAGAGTCCTCGCAGGCCTAGGGGTCTCTGGGGTCCCGGCGGAGCAAGGCTCGGTTCGGTGGCCGCCAGGTGGCGCGTTTGATCTACTGCCCCGCATCCCAAAGGAGTCCGGGCGCGCACCGGGGTCTCCAGGGCGCCTCCGGCTCCAGGTTGACGCCCCCAAAGAAGCGTCACCTAAGCGTATTAGATGTGGCTTGTCTGAGGGATTTTTTTCTTTTTCATGTCGGAGGGGTTCTGGTCTCACAATCAGATAATCAAAGGAAAATGGGGCGATCGGAGACCATGCGTGGGTCTCCAAGCTCTGGGAGGAGCCTGCCCCGGGCTTTCCGGCCTGGGCGATGTCCGAGTGTACGCCCGGCGCAGGGCCAGATCTTGGGCGTGCGGGTCCCCGGCCCTGGCTCCCGCAGGTCCCGCTCCTCAATCCCGGCTTGGGTTCCGGTGCCCATCCCTCCATGCCTTTTGCCCAAGCGCAGCCCAGCCCACACTGGATAGGTTTCAGGACACTCGCGGCCGCGGCTAAAGATAGGAGGACACCTCACCATCGACTAAAAATACGACCCCCGGCGCGGGCGAGGACGCTGGGCAGTGGGAGGGCGCTCCCGCGTCCCGGGGGTGGGACAGGGGCTGGGGCACAGGGTTGAGGGCGGGACCGCGAGTTCGGGTCCGGGATGCGAGGCGCCCCGCAAGAATTAGTAGTCGCGGGCGTGGCCGCCGGAACCGAGGCGTGGGCGGGAAACACGGTGGAGCGAGAGGCTCCCGGGGAAGGACGCGCGGGAGGTGAGACGCGGGCAGAGCGCAAGCTGGGAAGGGGCACCACGGATATGGGCCTCTCCGGGAGTCCCCTCGGAGCCGCGAAAAAGGCTGCAGAGGCCCGGCTCGAACTCACCTTGGGGCGAGCAGGCGGCCGACCCGCAGGCGGCAAAACTTCGGGAGCTGGACTGCGCGGCGAAGGGACCCGATCCCGGCTTTGAAGTTACTGTGCTCCCCGTGGCCCCTGAAGCTCCGCCCGGCCCGCAGAGCCAATGCCGGGGCGGCCCCAGCCAGGCCCCGCCCTCAGCCACGCCCCACTGCGGCCCCGCCCGGGTTCCTGCGTGTGTTTCTCCTTTCCAGGCGCTGCGCAGGGGGAGACAGCCGCCCGGGCTCCGGAGTCCCGGCTGTACTCTGCGCGCTCCAGCTGTGCTCGTCGGAGCCCAGACGCTCGGTTGTAGAAGGGCGGAGGGGGCGGCAGCCGGAAGCCCGAATTTGAGTTCTTCAGAATTCCCAGGGTGTCCTTGGACTCATTCCGTCGCTGAAGGGTTGGGTTTGGGGAGTCGCTCGCACAAGCGTATTCAGTGACTACCAAAGAATGAATGAGGCCTGGGAGGGGCCTACGTCAAAATGTTACCAACCTGTGAGAGTTTCAGGAGTTTACACCCCCACCCGCCATGAAAAGAGGACATGGAGGGTGTGCGGGCAGTGGCCTGGGCACACCCGCCGTTGTTTGCCATCAGGCTAGGCAGCTTCCGGGGCGATGGAGGGACCCATACTTAGACTGCTTCCAACGCTGGTTCATTCATTCTTTCATTCATAGAGGATTAGAAACACTTAATTGAACAGCAGGCTCCGCACAGGATGCTGGAGAGAGACTGAAGGAAATTCTGCCCTTGTCCTTTCAGCAATTCCACAGATCCTTGTGGAACATCTGCTAGGCGCCAGGTGCTGTTTTTGCCTCTGGGGATTCAGGCCCCTGGAAAAGGTGGAAGTCCGAAGGTCGGGGCACCATGGAGGTCTCTGCTGGACCTCAAAGTGGCAAGAAGGTGGGCTCTGGAACCTCCGACCCCACAGACTTCTTACCCAGCCATTGCCACCCTTCTCCTCCCCTCTGTCCCACAGTACAGCCCTGGAAGGTGGGGACAACTGTGTGCCAAGCCCTGAGGACTGCCACACCCAGGTTCTGAGTTGGCTCTGCTACCTGTTTGCTCTTTGGTCGCAGACAAAAGAGGGGCCCGTTCTGAACCTCCTGGCCTGTAAGTGGGAGTTACATGAGTCCCAAACAAGGTAAGGGATTTGCATGTGTTTGTTGATGGGAACACACAACCCCCTGCAGACAGCAGTTTCATGGAAGCTGGCATGTTGGGGCTGGTGGGCTGGCCTTACCCCCTGACCTGGAATGACTGTAATGATGAAGCCCCCTGAGCCTGCAGGAATGTGGCTGAGGCACAGTCCCCCATCCTCTGCACGTCTGCTGAGCATCTCCCATTGGAGGGAGCAGCCGGGAAGGTCAGGAGCTCCATCCAGAGCTAGTGACAAATCGGTAAGATTCAGAGACGGAAGACTAAAAGTCACTCACCAGGGCCCCACAAACCTAGGACCCAACTCCAGAGCTTTTTTGGAGAGGTTCTGGGACTGGGGGACAATTGAGGGGCACTGGGAGATGGGTAGAGAGCAGCAGATTTGCCCCCAACCCCCAGCCTGACTCTAGCCCCTGCTCCCCTCCCTAAGAGACTCATTAGTGACCTGTCAGTCTGGCTGCCAGGCCAGGATTCCTAATCAGGGCCCAGAGCCATAGGAACTGCCATCTGTGCTCTGGGGACTGTTTTAAGTCCACCTTGTTGTGACAAAGTTTCACCTAGTGCTGCCTCCCCATGCTGTTCAGCACACTCCTGCTGCCAGCCAGGGGGAGGGCCCCCCGAAGCCTACTGCCAAGGTGTGGTTTGTGCCTGGTGGTGAGTCCTGCACTGTGCAAACTCTCAGGTAGGCAGCAATTTCCCCCCATTCACAGAGGAGGTTAGGTCACTGAGCTGGGGCCTGAGGAATCCCTGGGGAGCCTGCTGCCAACAACTCAAAGTTCCCAGCCATCATGGGAGCCCTGAAATTAAAGAGCATTTATAAGACAGGATTTCACTTACTAAAATTGGCTTTTTCAATGCAACTTGTCAGGCCGTGTGTAAGTGCCTGACTGTGGGCAGTGAGGCTAGGACCCTGGGCCAGGGGATGGCCAGGGTGTCCTGCATTCCTGACCCAACAGACACTGAGGCCAAGTGGCCTGCCCTTGCTCAGCCTCACTGCATGTCCAGGTCTGATTCCTTAGCCAAGGCCTGGACTTGTCCCTGGAAGGGCTCCTGGACTCCCTGGCGGCTAAAGGGGCAGGACCCTGGGGGGCATTCAGGAGGGGTTAGAAGCAAGGAAGGCTATGATGAGGCAATGCATGGCATGGGATATTGACATCCTCCTCTGCCTAGAGGTTGCCCTGGGCCCTGGGATGGGCCTAGACTGTTCCCCCCAACACACACCCCATGGTTGCTCCCCCAACAAGGCCCTGTAATCACCGTGCAGAGACTGACTCAGCCTTCCTTCCTCTCCCAGGCTCTCCTTCCTGGAAACCGTTCACGTCCTCAGCCCCAGCCCCCACGGGCCCGGGGGGAGAGAGAAGGAAGCTGGGGAGGTTAGCTGGGGAGGATGGAGGGCAGGACCCCCTAGGCTGGAGCCAGTTCTTCACGGCCCTGACTACCTGAGGACCTGGGTTCTCTCGGAGGCAGACTGGACGATGGGGCCCAGGAGCCTGGAGGCAGATCTGGGAGTGGAGGGTCACAAGGGAAGGACGGTGATGATCTTGGATGATCTCGGGAGAACCGTGAGAGGAGTCAAGGCCTTCGGAGGGGCCTCAGCTCCCACCCCACCCCCACCCTGCCCAGGCCATGGCGCTGCAGAGAGCTGAACAGGAACTCCATCCCCCACGGAGGCCTCCGCTCTCCCAGCCTGAGCTCAGCCGGCAGGCCCCTGTGGCCTGAGCCAACCCTAGGCCTGGCTTGGATTTTTCCTTGATTGTTTCTTGTTTCCTTCCTCCCCTGGGCTCCTGCCAACTCCAGCCCTGCCCTGGTCGCACTCCAGCCCTCTTCAAAGAACTCTGACCCCTCAGAGGCTGGGATTTGAGATGAGTCCTCTCAGAGCTACCCCCAGCCTCTGCCTTGAACCCCTCCTTGGGAGCTGAGGGACAGGGTCTTACAGGAGGACTTTCCTTTGGGTCTTGATTTTGGCTCCAAGCCCAGGGCCATGGGGGTTTCCAGAGTGGTGACAGCCCTGCTGTAGCAGGGACTGCCCATGCACTTCCTCCCAGAAACCTCTGGGAGCATCCAGCCTCCAGAGCTGTCAGAGGGGAACGCAGAGCCGGAAGGAGCGATCAGCGCTTTCCACCCCTGCAAGACGCCTTGTCATTATTCATTTTGAAAAGTGATATTTGCATCTGCCTTGTGCCCAGGGCTGCACTGGACTAGAGAAAACACAAATGGCCAACGCTGGACCCTAGCCCTCAGGGAACAGATAACCTGAGTGAAACAAATAACCAATCCTGAAACAGCAGGTTCTGTGCCGTAATGGAGGGCCTTCAGGGCAGAGGCCATCTCTGATTCACCTCTGTCTATCCCAGGCCAGCAGAGATGAGGCTGTCAGTGACTGTGGGTTGAATCAAGAACCAAAAAGAACAGCAGTGAGAGAGTTTGTTCTACTAGAGGTGAGAAAGCAGATGGACAAGTTAAGGAGGCTTCAAGGAGGAGGTGATTTTTGAGCAAGCTATTAATGGGTGAGTAGGAGTTTACCAGCCAGAGAAATGGAAGGGCATCCCAGGGGAGCAGCAGAGGCACTGGCAAAGGCCAGGGGGAGTACAAGTAGATGCGTGGTGGGATCAGGAAACAAAAAGTGTCCAGAAGACTGTGGCATAGGAGAGGTCTAAGAGGGTAGTCTAAGAAGGTAGTGGGTGGGCACTGTTTTCCTTGTCCAAATCCATCCCTCTTATTTCTGGTGACCACCCCTCAATTTTCCAGAGTCTCCAGTATGAATGACCTCACCCCCAGGCTCTGAAAGTAGGTCTGACCCCCAGGCCTAGCCAATCAGAGTCATAGGGATAGTTCGGGGGTGATGCCAATAAGGTTCTGCTTGGCCACTTGCTGGGACTGTTAGGGTTACAGATGCCCAGCTGTCACTCTAGGGCTGCTGGTGACCAGTTCTGCCACCCTGTGGGGAGAATCAACCGGAGAAAAAAGCCAGCACAGAGAGGAGCCGAGACAAGAGAAAGAATCTTGTGCTTGTGCTCCTGGATTTAGTCGTACCTGAAGTCCATTGTATAGACCAACAAATTACACTTTATGTTTAGTCCAGTTGGGAATGTGTTTGTGTCAATTGCCACTGAGAATCTTTCCCATTAAAGAATAATTAAAGACAGGCAGTAGCTCATGACAGCTGTTGAATAGCATGGGAAGGAAATAAAGATCTGTGTAGAAGTGATCAAAATTATATTTTTGTCACTTAAATTACTTTTTTGACATGAGAATGCTTTCATGTGGCTCAAAATTCAAAAGTCACAAGAGGCAGAAAGTGTCCCTCTTACCCCTGCTCCATGAGCACCAGCTCTGTTCCCCATAGACAACCAGTGTTGCCAGTTTCTTGTAAACACTTCTGAAAACACTCTGCATATGCCAGCAAAGCCCTTCCCAACTTTTTTACACAAATGGCAATATTTAGTCAAGTAGAACCCCGAAGTGCTGGAAGCCCTGGTGGGAGTGGGAGGCAGGCCTATTACAGGGGACAGTGGGGGGAGTTCTTCAGGGACCACAGGAAATCGCATTTTATTGAGCCTCTGGTGTTCATATTGTTCTGCACTTTGCTTTTTCAGTTAGCATTATACACATGACCACTCCACATCAGTACACAGAATGTGGTCTCGTTTTCACTTTTTACAACTGCATGTTTTTCCAATGTACCCTGATTGACATAAGTAGGTCTCAGCCCATGGATGTTTAGGTTGCTCCCAGCCCTTTCCTATGACAACACAGTGAGTCAGCTTGCACAAATGCTGTTTCACGTGCACGTGAGCAAGCTGTGGACTAAATTCCTAAGGCCTTGAGGGTCAAAGGACATGTGCAGTTGTCACTTGGTCAGCTCTTGTCAGCTTGTCCTCAGGGGACACGCCAGGTACCAGTCCCCCTGCATGGACGACAGGGCCTGTTTCTCCTCAGCCTCACCAGCTGATTCTCGACCTC